ATTTTTCTTTATAATGACATATTTGCTATGTCAAGACAATTCACACAGTATGCATGTATCCCGAATATACATGATTGAAATCCCATCAAAATGTCAACAACGGGATAATCAAAACCATATCAAATTAAATCAATGAAATAACCAATATAAGGAAATATTTGATCTTAGATTTTATATAATTACAGTGATGCGATATTTCACTTGTTCATTCAAATTTCATAATATTCAGTATAGGGTTATAGAGATTGTTCATTTTTATTTGAGTTCATGAACTGATCAATGTTAGGTCACCGTTGAAAACTTGAAAGCATCAGACGGCCGTTTCGTCCTAGTATAGGACTCCTCAGACGTGAGAAGCCGTGACCACCGGAGCTAATCGGTATCGGGTTTGGTGCACTTACTCACAGAAGACAATGCAATATGGTCGCCTAATATCGTGGATTGTTTGAAGTTAGACATTAACAATGTCGAGCATTTGCTTAGTGGTCTATAGGTGAGGAGTTCGCACGCGAAACTGAAGATCGTGTGTTCGAAACTGTGTGCTAGATCATGGATGAACACTGATAATGAGTATCATACTAAGAGGAAATGGCCGTCCAGTGCCTACAGGTTTTTAACAGTGGTCTAACATTCATCGATTTATGGTCACAATCAAAACTTGACAATCTTCACAATCCTACACTGTTAAAAAATAAAATAATTAGTGTTGCCATCCGTTTTAAAAGTATATGATTTAAGCTGTTAAAAAAGATTAAAGTTAACCTGTTTGATTTGATCCTACCATTAGATGTCAAAGACACATTTCAAAAGAAAATTATTAAGCCAGTAAACTATTGATTTTCAAGTTTATGAAGTCAAACTTTGATGTATAACTATGACGAATGAAAAGATTCACTTCAATTCACTTTTTATAATGATTGTATTTCAGTATAGTTTTTGTAATCGACTTACATCAGTAGGAGAATCATTGTTGTATTCTGGTCTGAAACTTCCCATCTATGTGAAATAAAAACCACACACAAGAATGTGTCCTAAAATTTTCGTTTGTGAAGCAAGTAATATAATGTAAGACCATTGATTCACTCACTCACTAGTCAATATTTATTGAACGAAATTCAAGATATGGTACACGATACGTCCAGATTTGCAGTAATCCAAGTCAAATAATTTGTGTCATACTTGAAATAGTTCAATCATTAAGTTTGTATACGTTACTGGATGTACTGTTGTTTTACACCAAAACGTGTCCCTAAAAATGAGTAACTCAGCAACATTTCAATTGTGAAATGGAATTAGACAGTCGAGAAACTATGTCAACATTGATATAAGCCGGAACACTAATCCAGTGATCAAAATAAGTTAACATTTTGAATGAATATATACAACTTTGTGATAAATACATATTTTATCAACAGATAACATAGCTCAATAGCTAAAATAATTTTCATAAACTATATTTTATAGAAAATCAGATTGCTATAATGATAAGTACTTTTTCTGTAGGTAAAGTAAGTGATATTTTGGTCGGAGGTTTATTCTACAACGTGTAAACATCTATGTTTGCTAAAACTCAGTGATATAGTCTAAAATCAATTATACTTGCATCTTAAGATGGCGTCAAACCTCTTTTACTAAATCTTATACAGCATTCTCTGATGAAAGAATACGGTCCATAATATGAGCAAAAAAATGGATGATATTGTCAGCTATTCAAGAGCTCAATGAGTTGACTAATATAGAACAGCGCAGTCTAAGAAAAAAGTGATGCAAATTCTGGATAATATACGTGTTATGTAGGAATAATTATCTCTCCATCATTGGTAATCCATGTTCAGGATAAATATTAATTTCTATAGAAGGATAATTTGACTAAGATACTTTCTGATGATTCCTGATAGATTAATAAAATATTTCTAAGAATTCAATTTTTTTTCAGATGGCAGGTACTTGGTTATTAACCAGAGGAACCAAAGAAAAACATCGCTCTACAACAGCTTAGAGAATGGTTTCAACTGCATTAATAAAACTATAATTTTGTAGATTAACAGTCTATGTATTTTCTCTAGAAATGTTAAATGAGCATAATAAATTTCGTTCCTTTTATTCTGTTATAAACCTTGATGATTTTTATTTATACAAATCAGAAACAACATACCTTTTTAAGCGCCATGTAATTAGGTCAACAACTTAATTAATGATATACTAAAGTTCCCTGGTAAGGCCGAGACTGGGGAGAGTCTGCCCTCCTTCTCAAAATGCCCTCACATGGCCACGCGTATATAGCCTCTGCCAGGGAAGTCTCACTCACTGCCTTCTCACACTGGCGGTGGTGTTGCCTATGAATTTAAGAGAAGGAAAAGCGAATGTCCGGCGCTTTATCCGGTTGGTGGACACGGAAAGCCCACCTAGGGCAGTTGGAAAACCATGATTCCAAACCAATGGTGCACATGGGCTCCAGTATGCTGAGGGAACAAATGGCATATGAATCAATCATTGGTCACCGGCTACCATGAGACTCCATCTCCTTACGATGCTCCACTGCCTTATGGATCAGATCTTTAAGTCAAAGGCTCCGGGTGTGGCCCCCTAAGAAAACCACCTGCCCCAGTTTGGGCACCTGGGCAGTATCCCAGCACTCACACAGATCTCATTTGATTTGTGTGACGCATATATATCTGGTGCCCCTTTGTACCAATATTTATGTGTTTAGAAAAATTAATTAATTAATAAAAGTGAATATTTTAGTCTCACACATCAAAACACTTTACTTTTCAATCTTCTTTCATATCCAAATAAAATTTGATCATAAAACACTAGATAACATCTTAGTTATTCAGAAGTTAAGCACTCGTATACCAGAACTAACACACTGAGTCAAACCTCGATAAGGTCATTGATACAAAATCCTGATGAGTCCAATACTAGAATGAAACAGTTATCCACTGTTTCTTAGTATTCATTAATTATTCAAAATCAATGAATGATGCAATCTTTCTAATTCAGATATTCATTAAGGTATCACTTTTATCGGTTTTATCTTATAAATTTGGTGTATATAATCTTGTCTTTTTACGAGTGCAAGGATTAAGGATTATATCATCTCAATAATAATAATAATAAAAATTGCACAATATTATTTTAATTAGTAGAGATAACAATTAAATTGTCTAGTTACCATCTGTTCTACACAAATTAGTCGTTAAATTATTAAGTACCATCATGTATTGTATCTTACGACTTGTATGAACCAACAACAACAAAAAAACTCAACTGAACCAAACAAAATTTATACATCAGTATGGTTTAGATTATGCTTAATTATTGTAAACTTATGAGTTTAAACTAGCCTAGCTTTATTACTAATTAGAAATTATGCAATATCTTTATATTATTGGAGTAGTACATTTGTAACGTGATCAAATGTTACAACTCAAAGTTTCAGTTGGTATTGTAGTGAACAAGAACACAATTGGGGATAATCGAATGTATTAAGACACAAATTATAGACTATCACACTAAATTCTGATAACCATACGGTGAATAGTTAATTTGCAAACTAACAATTAATTGTCTCAATCTTCATTGTTCCTTCTGTAAATATCAATCCATCTTCTCTAATTTCATTGTTTTAATGCATTTTACTACCGATTGCGCTTCATTTCAGTTCTTTCCTCACCGGTCTTCTGACAAAGTACATTCTATGTCTGACCACCGCCATATACTACTTATGAGGATATAAGTAGACAACACTACAGTATATACATTATAGATAAATAATTACAGTGTTCTAACTTGAAACCTGTAAAAATCTAAATATATTCATCTGTTCTTAAGTTATGCATTGTATAATCTCGATAGAACAAAGAATATGTAACATGGGTATATTAAAAAAATCAGTTCCATTTGTAGTAGTGAACGTTAACGAGATTTGTGAAGTATCGAATCATGTTCGTATACTACCTTATCTGTAATTTCATCTAAAATCTAAAGTTATCAATAGTAAGGCCTATTCACTAAAATGTGCAAGTTATGGTTCGAAAGCTAAATAAAATCACGTCAAAACTTGATTTGTAGAGAATTATTCTCTAGAGGTATTGTAGTGGGCGAAAACGAAAACGAGGACAATCTAATGTATTTCAATACGATATTTTAGAACCTTTTGTTAGAACCATACAGTAAATAGTTGATTTGTAAGATATCCATTAATTGTCTCGGAATTTGTTGTTCTTTTGTTTCCATACTAATAACTCAGTGTTCTCGTTCTCGTCTATTCTATTTTCTTAACCTTCTGCCACCAGGTATTCCAATCTTGATTGGTGATATATACTATTAATATCTGTCGAAATCGGTAGTACACACCACAGTATCACTGATAAGTCTGGCTGACTTTCCATTTTCCTGATGTTTCTAGCAAAACTTCTAGTCAAACGCTGATTGGATAAAATAATTTGTAATGTTTTCTGAGCTTGTCATGTCTATTGCAAGAAATTCTCAGGATCGCCCCAACATTCACCGTTGTGAAATGGAAATAATTCTTTCTGTTAAATATAATACATATTATGTAGATTACAAACTGATACAGACTTTTTTGTATAAAAGATGGTATTACAACAAATTTACCACACTGAGAAAAGTAGAACATATAATTGAAACAAATAACTGACTCTAATCCATACTTTTATCCTTTATACGGTTTTTCAACAACGATATATTAATATCAGAAGGGGTTTTGTGGATATTATAGTAATTTCAATAGTTGAGATCATGAGTCAATTGAAATTAGACCACCATGGGACTCTCGCAAGGCAGGATCGTGGATGCCCACTGTTGAGGAGTCCTACAATAGGACGAAACGACTGTTCAATGCTTCCAGGTTTTCCACGGTGTTCTAGCTTCAAATGACTCATGATCTCAACTATTGAAACATATTAATAATAATTTATGTTATATAATTACAATTAATACTATGTCAATTAATTTATTTTCTTTATAATTTTTAGTTTAATATTGCTCAAGGAACATGTATGCGAAAATTGATGCGTATGCATTATTGTGCTTTATGCTATGGGGAAACTTTATCAAGACCATGTCCTGGATTATGTTTAAAAATTTTATCAGATTGTTTAAGACCACTTAGTCAACTTAATCCACAATGGTATCGTTTCACAGGTAAAATGAGTTTATTTCAATATTTGTTTTTATTAATCATTCACAATATAGTTACAAGTTTATGTAAATATAAATCATAGTAGGCGAAGATGGATAGTGGCTACCAGAGTAATCCAGGACGCGCGTTTCGTTCCAGCCCACTATCTATCTTTGATTATAAAGCTTGTGACTTTAGACAATATCGAGGCAGTCCGCACAGGATGCACATATGCCAACAAGCGACTGATCAGGTGCAGTCCTAAGCATCAATGGGAAAATTCAAACAAACATTACCAAGTGAATTGCAACTTCACCTCATTGTACAAGCAAGTGGCTATCAGGACTCAGTAGCTGAGTGGATAACGTGATGTCGTTTGAAGTTAAAGGTACTTGGTTCGAATACCAGAGTGAACATCAAATGTGAGATGCAGGTAGATCCAACTGACGAGTCCCAAATAGGACGAAATATGCAACCTAGATTCTACTGCTATCCACTATCCATCAATACTGCTTTTAGTTGTGTTTTTTCATATGTAGTCTACAATTCAACTACCGAAATACCGAATACTAATGGTTGCACAACACCATTTTCTTTCTAACTTGAGAATCATCAACAGTGACCATGTACTTCTCTACGTGGGATATGACCCTAAGACCTATGAGTCATTTCACTACTATTTTATATTTAGGTAACCCAGTTGGAATCAAATATCAGTAAATATAGGATTTAACATAATTATTATTAAATGTTATTTTATAGGGTTACTGTCTAACTTCCGAAATGGTTAATTTTTTGCCTATATGTATTTACTACTAGTTCAGTGTTAATAAACCTGTACTTTTCTATTATGGTTGTAAGACAACATCAAAAATACCGATCATTTGTATCAAAGTGTTTCACTAAAAAGTATATGAATCTCACGTAGCTCTCTCTATAATTATAAAGTAACTTGTTCTTATTCAGATTACTCTTCTTTGAAACAATATTGCATTTCTTTTAGTGTTTTTCACCTGTAAACATTATTCTATATTTGATTGTTTACCTTGTTACTGATTATTAAGATGATTAATAATTAGACCATCATTTATAAATGACTAATCAAAATATCAATGTTTCAATAATGCTAATGTGTATATTAGTCAACAACAACAAAAACGAGAGGTCAATCGTAGATATGACCTTGTATGTATGTTTGAATAATAAACTGACAACTGATGAAGGAAAACGATATATTCATTTTGAAAAGATAATCAACCAAAGATTACTTTTTGTACTTTTTACACCTTACAAATAAGGGATTACAATCAGATTTCAACTTTGAAAAATACTGAAATCTCCACAAATCCCCTTCTGTTTATAATCATATGCTCACTAGTGACTGACTTCAAGATACATGTCCTAGAGTTCTAGTGGGAAGCAGTGACCAGTGGAGTTCAACCACGTCTGTTGTGAGATATCAACTCACTGAAGATAATTGGTGAACGGTTGCTCAGCTTCGTGGATCAGTTGAAGTTAGACATTAACACCGTTGGATGCCAGCTCAGTGGTCTATCGGTTAAGGGCTTCGGCTCGAGACTGGTAGGTCCTGGGTTCGAATCTCGCGAGGTGGGATCGTGGATGCGCACTGCTAAGGAGTCCCATAATAGGACGAAACGGCCGTCCAGTGATTCCAGGTTTTCCATGGTGGTCTAGCTTCAATTGACTCATGATTTCAACTTTGAAAAATAAGGGATTATCAAATAGCTGTTCATTAATGAAAATAACCTGTCTAGCTTAAACTTCGGTAGCGTTATTTTTATTAAACTTATAATATTTATAAGCATAGATGGATAGTAGATAGCAGTGGAATCCAGGATGCGAGTTTCGTCCTATTTGGGACTCGTCAGTTGGATGTACCTGCATCTCAGAGTTGATGTTCACTCTGGGACTCGAACCCAGTACCTTTCACTTCAAACGACATCACGTTATCCACTCAGCTACTGAGTCCCAATAGCCACTTCCTTGTGCAATGGATTGAATCAATGCAATATCGAGGCAATGCATACAGTATGCACATATGCTTATAAGAGACTGATCAGTTGCAGTCTTAAACATCAATGGAAAGATTCAAACATATAATACTAAGCGAATTAATATACTTGTATTAAATTCATTTTTTATCACTTGGACATTGATGTAATATTTGAATTCGATTATGTCTGACTTCTTAAAGGATCTTTGATTAGGATGTGTTGGGGATGTTAAATCCCCAGAACTCACTTAGTAAATGACTTATTTTTGTAATTTTATTTTGAAAATTTGAATTTCTTTGTTTTCGCGCCAAAAGCACTCCTTTCATTTTCGAGTCGTATTTCCCACTTGGAAATATCTTAAACGCTATTGGTCCGTCGTATCTTTTAGTGTGGTATTTTGTAATGCTTCCGAAGGACAATTTCATGCTGTATATACACGTTTGATTTCTTCCTATTGTGGTTACTGTGCTTCTGACTGCTTACGGAATGTATCTTCTTCACTTCCACGTTGGATTTCTTACTCTAATTAGCTGGGTCTGTGACGCGTCAGTATAGCTAGCTTATTGATCTCTGGTCACGAGTCTTTGTTCTGTTCGCTGACTAAGTGAATTCGAAACCTCTCCGGACATAACAGGATGAAACAGCTTTCCAGTTTTTTTATTAGGTCTGAATTATTTCTCTTATTGATTTTACACTTTAACTGAAACTTTTTCCACACTAATTAAATGTTTACACCCTACTTAAAAAAATATTTTGTGATATCATAATTAAGTACCATGTTTAAATGTTAACCCATTATTAGTTCGTTAAGAAAAGTTATATAATGAAATGATCAGGCAACTGAATCCTATCATAGGATCATTAATTTCATTGGCAGGATTTTTAAGCCAGAAAGTCGAAGATCGAAATAAATTTTTTTTCCCAATGACTAACAGTAATAAATCACTAATTTCTTGCCGATGAGCTATTAATTCCAAATGAACTATATTGATCAGAACAGAATATGGTTACTAGGTCAAGTTGTTTAACATCTTGGTGCACTATCTGATGTTAAATAAAATGAAAATTTCCATTATATATATTTCCATATATATACTTAACGAGTAGTTACGTAACGTAATAATTATATAATGTCACATTGATTATAAAATAATATTGGGTAATTAAAAGAAAGAGAATGATAATGATCAACGTTAATAGTTGATATTTAGGCTTAGGATTAAGTTTCGATAAGATACACCAGAAATATTGAGTCAAATGTGCTTTCTGTGGAAGTCACTGTCATGATCAGAGACATTTTATAAAAAAAATTTCATGGACTTGATGAGATTCAAATTTATTTTCTTGCATTTTTAAAACACTGAACAATTGTGTTCCACTGGCTGTGGTTAATATTTAGACATGTTGACACATAATTCCCAACTAAACATTAAAAAACACGAAGTTTAGCGAAGGGATCTCTTTTCAATGTTTTATGCAACAAAGCTAAGAATCACGTTTACTAGTGGAAACCTGTTTTCTATATCCGTAGAGGGTAGGTATCCCCGTCTGATAGCCTCCATGTGCATCTACCAGTTCACCTGCTCTTGTAAGCAAGTTATACAAGCCATAGTCAGTGCTTACTTACAACTCAAATACAAGAAAACATCCGAGTGTGGTTCTACAAGAGTGGGAGGAAAGATTTTAGAAATTTCTTTCTTGAACATCTAATCAACTATAATCACTCTACCGATTCACAGGTTGATTTTAAGATTGTTTACACAATTCATCCAAATCCATCTAAATTTCTTCTTATCCAACTCCTTAAAACAACAGAAGCTCTTTGACATTTATGATTTCAGGCCAGAGCTGTGCGTACTAAAGAATTACATCTCATCGTTATCGTTACCTTGGCCTTAAACTATTATTAGTATTTGTATTTCATTTTGTACCTAAAAGTATCCCCCTCTCTCTTTAATTATAACTCATATTTTCATGATTTTATCCATAATTGTTTCTAATATTACTTCATTTCATTTTTACTTCTTTATTACCTTTAGTTATTGTAACAAAAACATTTGATCATTTTACTTTACACTATATTCCGTTGCTAACTTATTAATTTTATAAGGCTTTCTATTAGCACACACACAATCTTTTATTGTTATTATTTATATTATGTAACTTGGTGTTATAATCCCTCTGTTACATCATCACATTTATTCCCTGTTCATATATCCACACAGAATCAATACTTTGACAAAAAGTTTTCATATATATATATAATAGTATAGCTTGATAATAAGTCCGTTGGAAAGAGATCCCTTCGCTAAACTTCGTGTTTTTAAAAATTTAGTCATACCACTATAGTGAAGCAATGTAGTTCTCGATCTTCATATACCCTCATCTTGATTTAATTTTCGTTGTGAATTGAAGAATTAAACTAACATCATTACACCTTAGTTAACATTTACGTACGTTCACAACTTTTGAAATTAGTTCACAATTAGTTTGATACATTTTTGCTTGCGTTTTTTATCTACTTTTAAATTTGTAAGTAGACAAACTATTTCTTTATAAAGGACCTAGGGCTTGTTTGGACAGTGGTTAGCTATTATAATAATTATAATCATGACAACAACGACAATAACAAGTTTTAAACATTCTGCAAATGATAACAGAATGAATTCCAGTTGACAGTTGTAGTCAATTTGATTCAAACTCGTAGGCATTATTAACTAAAGAATAATACACTTTCTTAATTGACGTGATTTCTGAATTTTTTGAAAGTGAGTGCCTGTGACAGTTGTCTTGAAACATGGGGTTTCTATAAAGTCCATGTAGGTAAAATCATTTTACAGTCGAGGATTAAGGACTGAATACATACCAATCTATACGTAAAACTAAGAAACATGGACTTGAGATTTTAAAGTAAAATATTAATCTAAGATAACATAAACTAAGATACTAAAGAATCGAGCATAACCTCATTATCATATGGGTTTCGGGACAACATAAAAGGTAAGCCAAATAACCTTAGGTTTCCATATGAGTTATTGTTATGATTTAGGAATCAAGTGAATTGAAAGATTGCATCGTGCATTTAGTTTATTGTATGAAACCCGGTGTGATGACGTAACATGAACGTTGATAGGAATTATTCATGGACTATCATTACATATATTCGTATTCCTTTTATCATAAGCTTTCATTTGACTTATTGGTCACCCTTACGCCATTTATCATTCTAAATTTATTCTCAATCTATTAGTTACAGACTCTTATAACCACAGCCACATTCGGTCTGATCTTGTTTAATTATTATTTTTCATTTTGTGGTGTAATGCGGTCTGATCTGCTTTTATATAAAACACGAATGTTTGAAATGTGTGAATCATAAAGCGGAGACTGATATTTGTGTTCTGGACTGGACAGACTTGGCTAGGTGAGAAGCTACTTCATGGTGAACCAATAAGGACTCAGAGTTGGATCAAGGCAGCTAGTTCTGTTTTGATAGGAACAAGGTCATAGGAGTCAATATCCTGACTAACAATTTTGTCACGTGATATTTGACGGGCTATAGGACATAACAATTTGAATTCCTGGTAGTTACTATTCATTTATTCTTCGTACGGATGTAACAAAGGTTTAAAATCTCTTCAGATGAAATTAAAAGACTATTCGGTATTTGATGTTTTACCCTAAGAAGACTCACTCGTAAACGATTAGGAAATGGAAAATGAGTAAGTTAATGTTATTTGTTTGTAGTCTACTTGAAAAAAAAACATATTTACATGAACAACATGTAAAATAAATGAGAAAATCTGAAATCAAGGAAAGTAATGAATAATGAGATATTTCTCTTTATGAAAATATTAGATTCCACATATCCATTAAAATGAAATCAGTGTGAACAAACATCTTTTCAAACGGTTCTTGTCAATCCTTTAGATATTTGACAACGTTTCTTTTTAGCTTTAATTAAGCTATTCATTTTAAAGATGTTTTTTTAACCGTAATATTAAGATCATATACGTGCACCTAAATGCTTGAAAACACCAGATCAAATTAATTGACACTTACACTTTAGTAATCAATGCTAGTTTAGATAAACAGCTGAGCTCATAGCCAATTTATCACCACATTCATTTTTAAAACACTGGAAATTCATCTACTTTCAGAAAGTATAGAGCTGGTTAGATCAATAATGTTCATAAGTAGACACACTTCAACGACATTCGTACTACTGGAATGTTTCAATATTATAGAGTTTTATATTTCGATAGAATTAAAAATTGTCGATTGCCTGGTCAAATGGTTCAAGCTTTTCATTAGAACCCAGTAATTTACTAAAAATTTTCAATATTTAACGTAGATTCTCTCTTACTGAATCAAGAAACGCTTCATAGTACCATTATTTGTTTTTATTATTATAGAAACTATCAAAAGTGTAGCAGATATATTCTTAGAAAAACCACAATTAAGATTAGAAAGTCAATTGGACGACTTTCCAGAACATCTTGTAAATTATTATCATCAATTATTACATACCTATCACAACTGGGTAAGTGATGAATAATTTTTTTCAGATCAGTTTAGTTGTAAATATGAAGTGCATTCGTTTAACTAAAAAGTAGTTCAGCGATGAATGTATGTAAAGTAATGTTTCACTGTATAATTAAACTTAGTAAGCAGAGATGGATAGTGGCTAGCAGTGGAATCCAGGAAACACGTTTCGTCCTATTTCGGACTCGTCAGCTGGATGTACCTACATCTCAGAGTTGATGTCCACTCTGGGACTCAAACCCAGTATCTTTCGCTTCAAACGCCATTACGTTATCCACTCAGCCACTGAGTCCTGATAGCTACTTTCTTGTGCTAGGACGAAACGCGCGTCCTGGATTTCACTACTAGCCGCTATCCATCTCTGCTTACCATGCTTTTGAATTAAGGTATATCGAGGCAATACGCACAGTATGCACATATGCCAATCAGATACTGACCAGTTGCAGTCCTAACAAATCGATGGGAAGATTCAAACAAACAATACTCAATGAATTAAACTTAGTAGTTCTTAAATGTAAAAGCTTTCTAGAAAATAAGAATTGTTCTATCCTTTTCAATTATAAAGCAACGATAGTGTAGCGATGTAAGGAAGCTACGAACAATTCTAGGTTTTCTACTTTGTCAGTTTTACTATGCATAGCATTTTATGGAAAATGGAAAGTTTCCTTTACTTGAGCATAACTGATTAACAAAACAAATGTTTATATATTTACTGACTATGATTTAGCATTAACCTTGTACATGAGACACACCTATCTATTTAGTTACTTGCTTACTTACTTAAGCCTGTTACCCCTTGTGAAGGAGCTGAGGCCACACACCAGATTTCTCTATTTATCGCTGAACTGGGTAATCCTTTTTAATTGCTATTCACCCTTTTCATGTCTGCTTCCAATTCTCGATATCGTGTGTTCTTCGGCCTTCCACTTTTCCGTTTCCCTTCGGGATTCCAAGTAAGGGATTGCCTCGTGATGCAGTTTGATGATTTCCTCCTTGTGTATTCTATCCACTTTCAGCGTCTTTTCCCAATTTCATTCTCAGCTTGAGGTTGAGTTGCTGATGTTATCCGGTCAACGGACTTTAGTATCTTACATATGAGACATATACTACCTTCGAGATAATACTAATAATCTAATGATTCATATCATGCTTCAGTATAATTAATAAAAATTGTATATCTTTCAAATACTGTGTAGACTTTAATGCTTTATCGGGTGGTATCGGAGAGCACTGTACTGTTGTTCATCATTCGTACTAATACTCAGCAATCATTAAAAAAATTTTCATTAAATTTTGAAGTCTACTGCAACTTGTTCTGACATTGATAAAAGTCAGTAAGATATAAACCTGTATTAGGAATGTCAAGCTATTGTTATCTAAGTTCAACTCCAATGTTCTGCCACTGAAATTCTGTATTATACTGGTTATATTCAGAGATAGTTTTTATGGTTGACTTATATCAGTTGCTAAACCATCAAAAAAACAAAGAGAAATTGATAGCTATTTCATCTCATATAAGGGGATAATTACTAGTGTCCATTCATGAAATTAAATACTATTTGAAACAGGACGTTATATCTTAGAAGCTATAATAACACTTCAATTCTTCAAAATCGATTCAAACGGTGAAAACTATCAACATTAATAAGCTACCGAAATCTCTGCTCACAAAATTATTACCATTTTTATGGTGACCTTGATGGACTGATATTAATTAAACAACCATGAAACATCTGAAAGTTCTCGAAGCTGTTTCTTTCAAGCACGAGAATCAGCAGTTAACTTCCGCTACCTTACCAAAGAGAAGCGAACAGTTTTTAACACTATCCAACGCCTGGTCTCTAGACCACTGAGTCGACATCTATCCATTTTATTAGATTACCTTTTCTTGAGATTAAGTCCTATAGTTATTATTACTGACTTCATATTTGTCACTGCTTCAAATTATAATATTATAAGTCATATACCTTATTTACTTTCTTCTGATTTTAGTTCTGCATGAAAAGTTCATAATTTGATCCGAATTTCTCATTTTATTCGGATGTTATTACCAAAATTTATATTCAGCTATGATTGACATAATCTGAATACTAAGGTTTTAGTATTCAATCGCTTTTATTCGGTAAACGAAGGAAATTTAATATCTATCTTAATGATAATTAATTATACTTTAAAGCATTCTCTATGGAATTTACTTCACTAAGAACCCGATATACACACGCTTTTCACCTGTCCAACTTTGACATGTGAATATTATTCACTCACAGTACTCAAGTAGTAGTCTAATTGTAACTAAATTGATTCCTTTCGTGTTTCTTGACCTAATCAAATTTTATGTGTTTGTCACTGGGGAATGTCAATGGTATGAATTTCCCAACTTCCAGTGAAAATTAATGGTTGACTTACACAGGTCAGTCAGCCATGTCATGCTCATGGCAATGGATAGTCCTTAATCTAACAAGACTGAACTTATAAATAGTGATGATTTGATCCTCGTTCGATCATCTAAAAGTAATATCTCGACAAAAAGACCTAAAAATTCTGATTTTAGATTTATGACTGGTCCATGTATATTCACTTTCTTGAGGTTCTAGGTCATAATGAATCCATTACCAAATACCCTCATGTTCTTAGTAGCTCATTGTCTGATGTCAGTTTGTTATGAAAACTATCTTGAAAGAAAAAAAAACCCTAATTAAATCTCATGTAGTTTGAAAAACTTCGTTTGAACTTTGTTTTTATTGCTATCACACATTACGTGTCAAATTATTAACTAATCCCTATTTGGGTTGTTTTTGAAGATATTTTAGTAATTTTTTATATATAGTTGAAATCATGAGTCAATTGAAGGTAGACGGGGTCGTGGATGCGCATTGCTGAGGAGTCCCACAATAAGACGAAACGGCCGTCCAGTGCTTCCAGGTTTTCCATGGTGGTCTGGCTTCAATTGACTGATGATTTCAGCTATATATAAAACAATCCCTATTTAAAAATTTTTAATTTAATCTCAATATTTTGCTTAATCTTTGTTTATCTCATTACGTAAGTTACAACCTCAATGTTCAGGAATAAAAAAACTGTACAATGTGTTTGATCAGCTTAAAAGTAATTCCAAAACTATATTTCAAACAATGAAGAAGAATAATAATACAAAACGTTTGAAACATCATAAGAAGATTTTTGAACAAATGAAAACAACTGTAAGTAATTGATTTTAATATATACTACTTATGAAATAGGTAGTATACATCATGTAAATTTTAACATTTGATCAACATATATCTTAGTAATATTGTAGTGAACAAGAACAGAGACGAAATCAATCAAATGTATCTCAATATGACATTACAGAATAACTTTGAAAAATCTGAGAACCATACAGTAAATGGTTCATTTGTAAAATATCCATCAATTGTCTCAGAATTTGTTGTTCTTTTGTCAATTGCTGATCCATACTACTTATATCTGTTGACATCAGTAGTACACAACACAATATTACTTTTGATATACTGAGTAGTTCTGTAGTCAAATATGCAAAAAAGTTCAACTTGGAACTGGTTAGCGGCCTTGGCATCTCAGGCTATTAAATATAACCTTTAAACCGAAAATGAGACTTAGATTGTGATCGTTCTGTCTTAAGGGCGGGGAATTATGCTATTCATTGACTAATCATTTGCTAAGCGGATAATGATTTGTTAGTGAGAGAGGATGAAAGACAAATGAAGTAAAAACCTTTGTAATCTAATTGAAAAGAATACACATGTAAATATGCAAATAAGTAAACCATGGCGTATAATGAATTCAAATATATAATAACGGCCAAAATAGGTCGTTTAGGGTAGACAAATAGAATACAGGGCTAGTGTTTAAATAAAATTAAATTTGGAGTCGAAGATGATATAACAAAAGTTTACAGGTTAATCGGAAGTTTATAGCTGAAGAAATCAAAGTTACATCAACCAACTGTTAGTAATTACATACCAGACATCATGTGTACTAATATTTCAGAAAGTAGCTTACACCGTTTATCATTTTTTCTTGATTCTTCTCACAACATTCAATAGGTGTACTACGCTCATTGAACATGTTTGCTTCACTTATAATTAATTTCTTACAGTTAACAAAGTGTACTATACCTAAAAAACAGTGTTGAAATTAATTCCAACATTAAATAATGACCTAATTAGTTTCCAATATTGGCAAATGATACACTTAGTATAGTATGAAGTGTTTACTTACTAAGCAAAATCCATGAGTTTTAAAGAAGCCTAAAATTGATAAAATGGTTAATATTTAAACCAAATACAAGGCAATATTGGTTTAATAAATTATATTTAATGTTCCAATTGATTAGAAACGACTATAGAAAAACGGAAAAATAATAATTATTTAAAACCCTTTATTTGGAATTATATGTTTAGTTACTGGTGTGGTGTGCTATTAATGTTGACAGATATAAGTAGTATGTATCATCGATCGAAAATGAAATGCCTAGAGATAAAAGATTAAGATGATCATAGAAAAAGGAACGAGAGCAAAAAATGATTGATGTGAAAAGGAAAGAACAATGAAATCTGGGATTTTGTAAATGTATTATTTACTGTACAGTTCACAGATTTTACTAAGATATTCTGGAAGTTTGTATTCAGAAGTATTCGATTGTCCCCGATTGTGTTCTCGTTCACTACACTGTATAAAATTCACAACGCCATTATATAATATACTAACAATTAGTTCCTGTTAAATAACATTAGTCAATTGAAGCTAGACCACCATTGGAAACCTGTAAGCACTGGACGGCCGTTTCGCCCTATTGTGGGACGCCTCATCAGTATGCATCCACGATACCACCTCGCGAGATTTGAATCATGATTGCGCACTGTTGAGGAGTTCACAATAGGACGAAACCGTTATCCGATGTTTTTAGGTTTTCCATGGTGGTCTAGCTTCAATCGATTCATGTTCTCAACTATTGAAACTACTATAATATTCGCAAAATCCCCTTCTGATATTTTACTACTCATTAAAGTTTACACAATCAAAGAATAATTGAGATATGCTTAGATTTCGTCATTTTATATACAGTTAGTAAATTAATGCATCAATGAGATTTTTATTTATTTCTATTAAACTGCATGACATTGGGGAAATAAATTTTGGATAAAGAAATAAACGTATCATAAATAGATTCAGTTTTTGCTAATAAAACGTATCTGCAATTTCGGAAGAACCAATATGCCTGAATGTTCAAACTGATATCATCTGGTTCATAGTTTGAGAGGTTATCACTCAGCTATGTGAACAATGGATAACACTGTGTAGGAATGAAATATTTACAACTGATCATTAATTGAGTAGTGACTAATATCATACCTATTTCTTTACTGCTAATTGGACTCAATCAATTAGTCTGAGTAGCTCGACACCGTGTAAAGAATATTAAGATACTAGTTGGTTGAAGATAGGAGGCAAAGTTTCAGGCAAGCCTTGCTAATGTGTGAGAGCTAGCTTGAAACGTAGATTTAGGATTTCCTGTTAACGACCTTCGACAACCTAACAACCTGACATGGTTTATGCCATGTTCAGTCACCTAGACTATATTGTAACTTGATCAATAAAATCCTATCAGCACTAAAGGATGATGCAAACATCGAATCGGTCACTCAATAACCAATAAATTATAGAAAAACTCTCCTGGTTATTAGATTCATCCAAAAATAACTTTTATGAAAAAAGTATTATTTTCAAACCAAACATTTTGCATGCCATTTTCATTCGTATCACACCATTTCCTATCATCGTTATATAATTCATATAAGAGCCTCATCGTAAATTTTTAAACTTTAGAACAGATGAACTAGAATATGTGTCTTTTCAAAGAATCGAATACACTCCCCTGAATACTCTGTAATGCCCAGTAGAGCGATTGGGAAGTAATTCACAGGACTAAATTAAATTTAATAATTGCTTAGAATCGTTCTTAGGAAATAAATAAAGATCATTATTTATATGACTAAACATTCAGTGGTTTCTTCATATCAGCCATTAATTTGATGTAACTTTATCCTTCCAGATGGATGAAATAAAAAATATATGGTCACATTCAAGTACAGCATTGTGCTTAGAATCACCTTATCTTGCTTTAATCAATAGAAGACGTGATCAATGCTGGAATGGAACAGTTATTGCAAGGTAGAAGTTTTATAAAATAGTTGTAACCTCCTCAAAATTAAGCACAGAAATTCAAATCGAAATCCTCTATCCAGCGATAAGATTATCAATTGTGAATCTTTTTACATAAGCCGCTTTTATCGTGTGCAGTGTACACCATATATCATGTGATTTTGTCATAACCTGTATTGAAGAATAATCAGAAGTGAATTCTTTAAATCTTCCTGGATATTAGCGTCAATTTTAGTTATACTTGAAAAGTTTGAAATGATGAAGAAAATTTACAGCTTACGCTGATACTTTTGATTATATTGAGTTCTCTGAGCTAGATGATTTAATTGTGGAACTTTCATTGTCATTCTAGAGAACATTTTCAGAGCTATTTTCAGGAAGAACCTCCTCAGTTAAACTATCTAATTCAGAGAATTAAAAACCGGCAAGATACATAAAATCAGCAGTTTTAAAAAAAGCAATATCTACTTTTAATCATATCATTAAAAAACTGAAGAAGGTTGATACAATCCAAATATACTCATTAGTATTGGTCAATAAAGAAACATTAGTAGGTTTTAAATGGTAAATTTCTAGTTAAGAAACAAGCATTTTGAAAAGTCACCTCCAGGAGAAATTCTTCGACAATTTAACAAAAAGATGATTCATTCACCTCTACGATTATTCATAAATTCAAACATTATTTGAAAGTTTTTAATAAAAAGTTGTCATTTTTGTTTTTGGAAAATTTCTAGCTGGAAATGTTTCCATCAAATTGTTAAATATTGAATGACTTTACCATCTTATTATGACTATTTGTTTGTATATTATTACTCTGTAAGAGTTAGTTTTCCTTGAAACAATCTAGTAAATCATAAAACATAACTCAATCTCGACAATGTAATAAGAAGACGAAGATTATCAGAACTACGGGATGATATATTAGCGCAATACATTTCGAACAATCTGATCACACATATACTTGTTAAGAACATTTATATATAAAAATAAAAGGTCAACTAGATTGGAAATAGGGGTAAGAATAGACAAGGATAATAATAATAAAAATAATTTGAAAACAATTTGCCTTAATTCACCCCATTGCACAAGCAAGTGGCTATTAGGACTCAGTGGCTGAGTGGATAACGTGATGGCGTTTGAGCCGAAAGGTACTGGGTTCGAGTCCCAGAGTGAACACCAATTTTGAAATGAAGGTACATCCAGCTGACAAGTCCGAAATAGAACGAAACGCGCATCCTGGATTCCACTGCTAGCCACCATCCATGTTTGCTTACCATAATATATCAAATAGTTCTGATAATCTTTATCTTCTTACTACACTATCGAAATTTTTCAAAGGGACTAATTGCTCTAAATAGCTCAATCTATTCATTCCATTCACAAATTATTCAATAATTGGTTTAATGGTTAACTTTTAATCTCATTTTATTTAACCGAAATATGATTCAAGACAATTAGTCCCTTTGATAAATTTCGATAATGCATTGAGAGGACGATGGTTAACGCAATTATGTGATATATTTACGTTTTGCATTTCGAACAATCTGATCACACATAAACTTGTTAAGATATTTTTATATGGAAACTAAAAGGTCAACTAGACAGGTTAAAGGTAAGCCGTAACAAAGAAAATACATAAAGTACACAAAAACAACGTGATAACCACTCTGGATAATAAGTCAGTATTACCAGGGTAGGTTAGGAGTAAGAACAAATTGTTTTTAAACACATAAGGGGTTTTCAGTTTCTGTATAGCCAAGGCTTCTATAAACATTGGCATACGTCCTTGTATGCTTTTGTACAACACTACAAATAATGAATTGATGTTAATCTTATGACCAGTCTCAACTGAATGTTTCGCAATGGAGGAAGGTGTTTGTCCATCCTGTGATTTTATTTGACCATTGAAATTCATTTGTTTCTGCAGCAATTTGGGTATGTGTTCCGCCATCTTTTATTGCAGATCTTGATTGCTCCTCCCTATGTATGTGTTTACACATATACACGTAAATTGATAGACACAATAGCTTACTTTCTGTCTGGGTTTTTGGTGTAAAATAGACTTTATCTTTTCAATAATGACAAGTTGGTTATATAAGAACTCTCATCTAAATTAGAGCGAATAGTTTCACAGTATTTGAGCGCCGAGTTGATGTAAGACATTAAATAGGAATAATATGTATTTGTAAAATCCCAGCGAATGAATTTGTAGCTGAGATTTTACAAATATATATTATTCCTTTTTAATGACAAGTTGCGTTGTATAAAAAGTCTTGTTGATGGCTAATTTAAGTCGCCGTTTCAACATGAGACTATTTGAGTCGCCTTTAAATGGTAACATAATGTAAACTCACTTTTTGGGTGCCAGAAGCGTCATAAGTCTAATCACATTGCAACTCTTCCAGAGGTTTATGAGCTTCAACGAATAACCATCATTTATTAACGTTTCAGTCAAGAGATTCGTTTCTATTTAAATAGCATCGCTGATACAAATATGATTGATTCTATTGAATAAGCTCTTTATTAACCCACGTTTGTAATGAATTGGGTAGTGACTGTGGAAATTAAGATATTGCCCTGTCACTGTTGGCTTTGTATATATAGAACGTTGGATGGAACCATCATCTCTCCTACTACTAATTGTGATTGTTTAGCTTAAGGTCATTCAAAACAATTCTTTCTTATCATTTTATAAATGAATGAATATATTGTAATAGTTAAATTCAATTACAAACTAGTTAAATTCTAACAACCTCCGTCAAGATTTAAGTATCACATAGAAGACAATAGATAATGGTTACGTAATATCACATATAGACTGAGGTTAGGAACGTGTATCATAGAATTCCAACCTAGTTATTAAAGGTTTAATGTATGTTGAGGAACATAAAAGTTGATAGGTTACAATGTAACTAACCCAGTAATCTAAAATTTTCGAAATGATTTCACTAAAATCTTTTCAAATACTACTTAAATTGTACAGCTTAATTTCATGTAACATACTTTGATTCCAGTTTTAATGAAGAGAAATGTACATTTTGTCAACATGAACCAAAATTAAAAGAAACGATTATTACAAATTCACATAATGAAAATTATAATGAGAAATTATCACCAAGTCGTAAACAACGAACATCATTTATACCAACTAATGATATACAACAACAATCAAGTATTAGTGAAACAGATGATCTATTATCAGCTTCAATTGCATCAACTAATTATTTATTAAATAATCCATCATGGAATTCACCATTACAACATGATGTAAGTTCATTGAAGTGATGAAATTATATAAGTTTTAGTAACACTGTAAACTGTGATGTTTGAAAGTCTTCTTTAACAATGGACTATTTATTAGGTAATTCCAGAACTTTGGGTAAGAAACAGTGATAAGTGAAGTCTAGTCATGTCAAGTATGAGGCACTCAGCCATCAGTAATATTTGAACATAGTTGCATTATGTAGTGAATTGACTGGAGTTAAGCACTTAGACCATTACGTTTTGGTCGTGGTATGAAGACTAAGAGTTCGCCTTGAAACCTGAGGGTCCTTGATTCGATTTCATGTGGTTAGGTTAATGATGCACACTGTTGAGAAATCCTATACTAGGGCGAACATCTCTTTAGTGATTCCTGCTTTTCAGTGGTGGTTTACCTAACATCAGTTTGCAGTTTAAACTATGAAAAATATATGCAAAGTGGAAACATTTCCATATTAACATCCTTTTGTTTTCAGTATGCGTTTGTCATTGATTGTGAAAAGTATTGTTTTCTTAACCTAACATTGTAGCTAATTCTGATAATAAAATGAATGGTCAAACGTTTTTAAAATAGTAAAAATTCCTGTAATGTTAATTAGAACAACGCATATAAGTGAACAGTATTATTTTCAATTCGATCCTGATCAAGCTTTGCGCTAATATGCTGTAATATTTATATGTATATATGAAAAATAGTTAAATCGATCAAGGCAATTTATAGGTCAATAATTACAGGGAAACAGATTACATAACCAAACATAATAAGTAAAAAGTACAAATTAATAGTCTGATGATAGGTGTACTAGTTGTAACAGAAATAATAAGAAACTTGAATCAACATTTCATAACAGGAAGTGGGTCAAAAAAACTTGGAAAAACGGCATTGAAATGACATTGGTTTAATATTTTCAGGTAACCATATTAATATTATTGTATATTAGGGTAACAATGTGCCTCTTTGTTATGAGAATGCAAAATAAGTTTAGTTACCTTAGTCTCTTCAGCTTCTAAAATTAAATAACAGTCCATAATTAGTAAATTTCTTGTTACCATCACCAAAGTGATAGTGAATCGTCACTGCACTTATTTTAGAACGAAGAGATTTTTAAAATATAAAAAAATATGTTGCCCCTATTGGTTCTCCTATGGACCGAAATTTCATTAAATGTTTATTTTTGGTCACTATTCAAGTTGAAAAACTTCTTTACCTAATTAATACCCGTCTTCTTGCAAACCCGAACATCTGTATGATTGTACATATCGCTCTTAACAAAACATTTACACATTCAAAAATTTCTGAAACATTTATTGCTACTAAATTCACTTAGTATTGTTTGGCTGAATCTTCCCATTGATGTTTAGGACTGCAATTGATCAGTCTCTTATTGACATGTATGCATACTGTGAGTATTGCCTCGATATAGACATAATTCACAAGCATTGTAAGTAAAGATGAACAATGGCTATCGGTGCTACTTATTTAAATCAAGTAGTTAAAAATCACAAAAATAAAAATAAAGATTATCAGAAGGGGTTTTGTGTAGATTTAGTATTTTTCATTGTTGAAAGCGTCATACATGAACACCGTTGGATGCCAGCTCAGTGGTCTATCGGTTAAGGGCTTCGGCTCGAGACTGGTAGGTTCTGGGTTCGAATCTCGCGAGAGCGGATTCGTGGATGCGCACTGCTGAGGAGTCCCATAATAGGACGAAACGGCCGTTCAGTGTTTCCAGGTTTTCGATGGTGGTCTAGCTTCAATTGACTCACGCTACCAACTCTGAAAAAAATAAAGAAATAAAATAATGAGATATCTTAAAAAAAAACAGCGAATATCTGGTAAGATTACTTGCAGTTTTATTTACATTCATTGAAAATACCTTTAATTAGATGTTCTCGAATCAGCGGTTATACTGCAAACTAGATGTAACACATGTACTGTGTACTTAATTTTTGATTGAGATCATGAATCTATTGATGTTAAACCAATATTGAAAACCGGGAAGCACTGGACGGCCGTTTCGTCCTAGTACTGCTTAACAGTGAACATCAATGATCCCGTACGCCAGATCCGACACGGATTTGAATACATTAGTCATGACAGACAGGTATCTACCTCAAACATTGGATGGATAGTTGCACAGTCATTCATGCATAGATGGAAGTTAGACATGAACACCGTCGTATGAAGGCTCAGTGATCTAGAGGTTAACGGTTTGCACGCGAAACCGAAGGTCGTGGGTTCAGATCCCGCGTGCAGGATCGTGGGTGCACATCGCTGAGGAGTACCATATCAGGAAGAAACGGCCTATCAGTGCTTCCATGTTTCGAATGTTGATATAACTATCAACCGATTTATGACCACAAACAAAAACTTAACAATCCCAGAAACCTCATACCTTATTTTTGTCAGCTTGAATATCTAGTGTAAAGCAAATTTTCTGATATTCGAAAAATGAAAAATATAGTTCAATTAAATTCGAGTATGATTTTACTGTATTTTCTTCATCGAATAAAAATGGACTTTTGTTTACATGATGAATGCTTCACAGTCTGATTAATTTCATTCACTTTTTCCACTCTATTTTTTTGTTACAATCAAACTATAGAAGGAATTAGCTTTTCGACGTGCCAATGAAATTCTAGTTAGAGCATCTAGAGATTTGGAATGGTCCGTGAAATCATTGTTAAGCGAAACCAACTATTATAATTCATTAAATGCTAAGTCTACTTCAAACGGAGGTGATAAATCTAAAGGAAATACACCACCAGAATCATGGGCACGAATTTCAACATCTCAAAAACCTGGAGGTATTGAATTAAGTTCTCTTCCATTTAATCTATTCGTTATTTGTACATGCACTTTCAGGGACTTATCATGATTAGTCTTAAGGTAGCAGCAGTAAATTTTGATATTGATTCAGAAATTCACTAGACCATTGCAATTCTTGTCAGTCTTTGCAAAAAATGTGTATGATATAACATTTTCAAATTGTTTATTGAATTTAGTGAAACTATGAGCTATGTAGTAAACATTATAGCATAGACAGATGACCGATGCCTTAAAGTACAAAAAGGGATATGAAAGTATAAAGTTGTTTAGCTACTCCAGTAGAATAATATATCATTCTTTAATTTCAAGAATAACATGACAATAAATCTGGAAATTCTTTATATCACGATCAGCAACCTTAATCACCTTGATTGATCGGAGTTAACAAAAGACCTTTTATCCTTGCCCTAGCCACAAGTGATACAAATCTTTCAACTCACATACGTCTTAAAAGTTAAAGTCTATTTGAACTGACCTATTTATGCCAAGCAACGTGCTTTTAATTAACAAACAACAACTAAAAACAGACGGTAGGAATACTTATGTGAAGACTGATAATGTGGACTTATGTCAGAAGGAGTGATGAATGGATTGTATGGTTCGATATTAATAGTGATCATACCGAAAATGTATGTTTGTTATGTGTTAGTCCTTCATCATCATCGGTAAGAATGTTCTGGAAAATGTCTGCATTCTGATCAGCAATGTCCTCGACGACATAAATTCCACAACAGAAACCGAATCGAAACACAAGATACTATTCTCGGATGTGCTGACCATCTTAACCAACATAAGAAGATAGGTGAGTCAGATGTTTTGACAGCCCATTCACACAGATCACATTTTTATCTAAATTATGAACAACTCAAGAACTAGAAAATCAAATGCGCACAAACTTTATACAAAAGAGCAAAAACATAACCCAACACACTTACCACACAAAAATATGAAGAGAAATATTTAATAACTATTTATCAAAAGGAGAGATATCCACCAAACTTCGTTGAATAACATCAATCAAACTCATCGACCAAAAATAAATTAAAATGTGAAAATCAACAAATGGATTATCCTAGTATATGTAAAAGACATATCGAAAACTACAGCAAAATCATTGAAGCCGTTTGGAATACGTGTAACACATAGACCTGTTAAATCATTTCAGTCCATCTTACGCAAAGTAAGGATAAAATTTCGCTAAAATCATGAACGAATTTTAGTTAGACCACCACTGAAACCCGAAAATAAACGACCATTCAGTGTTTTTTAGGTTTTCATTGATGATTTAACTCAGATAGGTTCATAATTTCGATTGAACTCAACAATCTCTACAACCCTATACTGATGATAAATGAAATGATAGAGAAGAGAAATCAACCATCATCTACAAAATAAACTGTCCCATCTGCGAGAATCACTATATCAGATAAGGTGAACTCACTTTTCATCCTAATCTGCATAAGTATCAACTGCATGTTAAACGCTACAATATATCTTTGTTTATACTAATGCACGTTGATAATTGCGGACGCATGTCTAGCTTCAATTGACACATGATTTCAACTATGAAAATACTGAAATCTCCACAAAACCCCTTCTGATCTATAATCTTATAAGTGACTGTATTCTAGGGTAGATGATTATTCTCGTCACTTGAATATATCGACTTATTTATTTTAAAATACATTTGTATGATTTACAAATGTTTTCTTCAATATTTCAGAACAATATGAAACCGGGAAAACATCATCCAATCCACATTCAGATATGACCAATTCTTTAGGTATGCTCGCTTATGGATCAATACTAAATTGGAATGCACAAGGAGAAGGAGGAGAAGAAGAAGAAGAAAATGAGGAAGAAGTACAACGTAAAATACCAATGAATTCTAGAAGTAATAATCCATCATCATCGGATTCCTCTTCGAAACCAATACGAATGACAATAAATCAAAAAAATTCAAAGAAAAAAGTAAAAAAAAATCGTTTTTGAATATCATCTTGGTAAAGTTACAAATTTTTTCAGTTATTTAAGGTTAAATAATGAACAGTTGTCAGTTTTATGGATTTATTAATTCATTTTTAACCGTTCGAACATAATCTACTGTGTAAAACATATTTCAAAACGACACCTAAGTTGCCGAAAATATGTTGGAAATTTTATATAATTTTTTTATATAGTTGAAATCATGAGTCAATTGAAGCTAGGCTACCATTGAAAACCTGGAGGCACTTGACGGCCGCTTCCTCCTATTGTTTAAAGTGGGAAATCTTAGAGAAGATTGATCAAGAATACTTTATTCTAAATTAGTTAGTTAATCAATTTAGATAACTCGGCATCATGAACTGATTTTAGCTAGATAATTGTTGAAACCCAAAAACTACTGGACAGCTGTTTAGACCAGTAATAAAACTTCTCTTCAGTGCAGTTCTCAACGCTTGTATGACTAAGATTACTTCGTTATGTGAACAGTGAAATTTAACAAATAAAATTAAGTTAACAGATTCATTCAGTTGAAATTAATTTAGAACAATCAAATAGGCTTATAAATCATCACTGGTTTTAAGAAAGGTCCATTAGGTCGGTTCGATTAGCAGAAACACATGAGATGACAATAAACACCTTAATTATAAAAAAGTACTCAAATGTAATTTTGAATTGTTTACTAAGAGAAATCTAATTCTTACTAGTTCAAGCATTTTAATCGATTCCCTTTAAATGTCAACTAAGAATAATTTTCATTCTTTTAAAGAGATTCCACTTTCATTCGATATTCAAATCAAGCACTCACTGGTCAAAAAACGTGTACAAGGATTTTAGGTTTATGCACCAAACGCATACATCACGAAAATTTAGCCGATCTTCAGATTCTCACCATGACACAAACCTTGAACCGTCATAATATAATTAAAAAGAATGATACAACTGAAAGTTATCCATTGTTGACGTAAGAAAATCAAAGATCAATTATATAAGGTCTTGGGTTCCAGTCCATTTGGCGTGCGATCATGGATACGCACTGCTGAGGAATCCCATACTGGAATGAAACGGTTGTTTGGCACTTCTAGATCTAACATTGACCCATTGATCATATAAATCTAAATTCAACAGCCTCCACAACCCTATACCGATGTATAATATCGGTTATCTTCTGTTTTATGAGAGTTATGTAAAACATGTCAAACCTCTCTAGTATGAAGAGCTAACTTATGAAAGAACTCAACCTCTGGAATTCATTCAAACCCTTTTCAAATGAATTTGTTGATGATATAGATACTAGACTTTCTTCAGATTCTCAAGAGTTTATCAACAACCGATTCAAGTTAATAGCCTTTAAACTTATATGTAAGATATATTTACATTACTAAATAGCTTTAAATCACATTTCGTAGAATAGTTTGTCACTGTGATCAAATAATCTTATGGGATCCCATAACAATTAAACTATTCTATTTTTCCTTGATCCAGTAGCTTACCAGTTTCAATTAAAAATGAACTTCATCATTACTTTATGAAACAAACTTTAGAATTTTATTATCATTACATTTTTCAATCATTCACATAAATTTCAAACAGTCTTTGTTATAATTTCAGTCTAGCTAGATGCTACAACTTGTGGCCGAGTTGATGCCTTGTTAACGTATGACGTGATAAGACCGCCAATCAGAGAGCAGTGAATTATCGATTAGAACAGTGACACACGAAACCGTACGGACAGTCTGGAGTACTATCGGTTCTGCTTCTGCCTAGCCCAACCAGTTAAGTCCAGAACAGGTTCTGCGGTATGAATCATTATACTTCAAACATACTGAGTTTATATATCAATCAAACTGACCACATCGAACCATAAAATAGAAAATAACATATCTACAATATTTAGCCATATGTGGCTGTGAATAAGGGGAACAGTAATCAATAGACTAGGTGTAATTCATGATTGGTAAATCGCATAACAATGGTTTATAGTTCAAAATAAAGCTCATGATAAGGGAAACACGAATGTGAATAGTTTAGTTATTTAGCGATTATGCGATGCATGATACTGGCTCATAAATAAACCCCAAAAGTTACCATTCATAATTCTCTCCGGGATATAACACTAGATATCAAGGTTTTTTTAACTTTTGGTATAAATAGTTATGCATTGTACATTATACTATTACCCTTCGTAGTTGGATCAAGATTTATAAGTTCTCTTTGTCTTTTCAAATGGTGGAAACTGTTTAGCACTGTGTATACATCCGTTATAGATACTTCTTATTTTGTCTAGTTTCCATTTTGTAAAATTAATTCATAACTTTAAAGAAATGTTATGGAAGCAGTTCCATAATTCCCTCTTCCTTTCTTTCTATGTTTCAGAATTCACCTGACAAAGCACAACGCATAAGACCATTAGAAAGAAACTCAAATCTTGCCTCAGGTTTTATTCCAGGTTGGACATTATATGCATGGACTCCAATTAGTTCACCTGCTAAAGAACATACATATGAAAAACCAGTAGATAACAGTTTTGTCCAAGAAGGTAATAAAGATCGTTATTATGAGATGTTGGTGGATATTGTTGAATTTTGTAGTTTAAACTATGGACTGACATTAGCTAGACAATCATTAGAAACTGGAAAACACTGGACAACTGTTTCATTCTATTATGGGACTTTTCAGTGTTTTAAAGATTAAGCGCTCTCTTCGGAATCTGTTTGTTTCGGATTCAATTGCTGGTGAGATCTTGGATGCAGATTGGTTAGAAAAAACCCATACTACTACTATGAAACAGTTGTTCAGTGCATGATCATCTAAATAGTGTCAGTCTATCATGTATACTATGACATTAAACTTGTTATTTCTACTATTACTCATTTAACATTAAATGACATTTCCAACAATCAGTGATGAAATTAAAGATAAAAAATAAAGCTTAGAAAATGTTTGTTAAGCTTTCATTTCAACATACTACGTATGTAGCATACTACATTTGCATCATTAATAAAGTAAATAATTTTAACACAGTGAATTATATAAACAGATATTCTGGTGTACAAACTTGGACATAAGGTGAAACATCTAATTACGGGTCGACAGGTTGAGTGGCACTGTTGATTGAACACTCCAGGACTATATACATGAGACCGATCCCATAAAGCTTATTCTGATGCCGACAAAGTAAAATTTTCACCCAGTTAATGGTTATTATTTAATATTCTCAAATAAAGCTCTTAGGAATATTTTGTTTTAAATAATTAGAAAAATTTGTATTTTTACATTTGTTTACAACCTATACTCAAATTATTACCTAAAGAGCATACTCGTCGATAGCGTTCAACACTATGAATAACCTCTCTAGTTATATCTTAAATCCTAACTGCATTATCTTTAGGATAGATTATCAATTCTAATAGATACAGGACTGGGTTTAATGACATATGATCTCAAGCACAAAGAAAAATGATACTTACTGTAAGCAAATGAGTTATATTATGGGTGGAAACTATGGAGTGAAGTTCTGAATAATGGGCAAAATATATTTTAAGTGTACGAGTTTTGTGGAGATTGTTAAATGTCCATAGAATAAATCACTGACTAGCCATCGTCCATTGCCTAGAATGGACAACTGTTTCACAATACCGTTCATTGATTGAAGTTAAAGATACACACTATTGGATGTCGTTTTAATGGTCTGGAGGTAATCTAATGATTAACGATAAGCGAGATAAATTCTGATCTGTATACGTAGGCAGTTTTTTTTTCGAGAGACACTACCTGAAATCAACCGTGGATAGACGCAACCCCTTATAAATTAAAACATACCAAACGCTATTAGGAACAATATCATTATTTCAAATAAACAAATATCTTATTTTCATATTCTATTGTTACTTAGATACAAATTATGGTGAAAGTGGTCTACATGATACCAAAGGTGAACTTGATTATCCACAATTATTTCCATTTGTTAATATGAATTCACAAGAATTGAATATATCAATCATGGGATCGGATGAAAAATTCTTACGTAATAATAGTGTATTTAATCCATATATGCATCATAATCTTAATAATTCTTTATGGACAAATAAACAAATTAGAAAAAATAATAAAACAACCAATTTAACTGATTTAAACAAAATTCAAGATCCCAATTCAAATAAAAATGGAGCTATGTGTATTGAACTTCAACGTGAACAATATTACATTATAAATATTAGCATATCTGTGATGCTTTTGATTTATTTATTGAGGGTATGAACTGATAAATGTTAAATGGTTGATTCTTTCACTAAATTGCCTTTTTGTCAGTCACCCCCTCCCCACACACACATGCACACACACACACAAGTATCCACTTATGCATTCATGCACATAAACAATTTCATATGCCGTACATTATGTTATTTTTCATCTTGTTTTACATAAAGAAGTTTAATTCGAAAAAAATGTACAGGAATATTCGTTTCTCTTTTAAAAGAAGATTTTTATGGTTGTAATTTTTTTATTTTATTCTTTATTAAGTACCAATGAACTTCAATTAGTAGTTACCTATTACTAACAAGAATACAAGAATGAAAAACACTTGGCAACCATCTATGAACATTTAATATTACAATAATAATCAATATTGTTTATTTGTGAAATTGTATAATGACCGAAATGATTTTTTGATCATTGATTTCATGATTACCCCCCCCCACTCCCTTTTTTTGTTCCATCATTTGAACATTACTTCATTTTAGATTTGAATCATGAATTAAAGCGTCTATATATATATATATACGTTATTGAAACATACGAACAATCGATAGAAATTCTGATCCCATCCATGGGAATGTCATCTAATTATTTCATTGGAATTCATTAATCTATTACATAGAATTCTATCTGATATATTAGTTTAACCAGTGATATGAAAAGTAGGAATATGATTATTCTTTCCATATTCTACTTTCTGCTCAGCATTTCTCTTTTCCTTTTCTTTATTTCTTTTTTCTTCTAAATTTTAAAACATTTCTCTCATAGATACCATAAAAGTAAACTAAATTTCATTATAAATAGTCATTATGTATTTAATCACTACATTGGATAACAACATACATTTATAGATTATAATAATGATTAACTATTCATTTAATAGTTATTGTTTAGTTTATTCTATAAATCAATCTAGAATGTTATTCTGATTTGGCAACGTTTCAATTTAAAAGAAAAAAGAAAAAAAAAGAAAAAAAAGGAAAATAAAAATAAAAGAAATTAACCATATGATATCATTCCTTGGATATATTGAAGTAAATAAGATATAGTTACTCTATTTGAAAACAAATGCATAAATCTTTATTTCTGTTTATTCAGTGAATAATAATAAATTCATTGGATTATGATAAAAGTACCTAAATGTAATTTACATTTATTTGTTGTGTTTAATTTCATTCTTTTTTTTGGTGTTGTGCTTGTATTTTCTTCTTGTGTTTTTTTTCTCTTTTTTTTCTTTTTTCAAATGATACCACTTCATATTTTGTCTCATAATCAGAGAGAAATTAAATAAATTTTTTTTTGAATGCAATACTGCTATTTCATTGTATCTTGGCTCAGTAGTCTAAAAGTTTAGTTCTTGCCGCTAGATCTAAAATACTAGATTCAATCTATCTTGTCAGGATCCTGGATGCACATTTCTGATGAATCCTATACTTGGATGAAACATCTATTCAATGCTTCTAAGAATCTTTGTAGAGGTTATCGGTGTAAAATAAAATTTTTATATGATTAGTTCATATTATGAATACCGTTCTCATTTTATTTGAAAGGAAATTATTGGAAAATAAGTCGAAGAGTAACAGTGAATTAGTGAGGCAGTTCAGAGTAAAGTACAATTTTTTCTTGTATACATAAGCTGAATTTCAGTTGATAAATCTCTGTTACCTCTTAGTAACCTATCAATGTGCTGTTGTTCTGCCTTGTTCATCATCCAAAATTTTATAATCATATATACTATCTGATTCGCCTTTTAGTATCCGTGTTGTTGACAGGTAATTGAAGATTTTACAAGACAATAATCTCTATTCTTTTTTAAGCCACATAATACTGTTTTATAGATAAGTAAATACAGTAAGGAGTAACTGGAAGAGGATTGTACTCCAACTTATTGTCTGTAAGTGGTCTTTTTTATTTTGCCTGAAGTTGTTAAACCGAAGTAAGGAAACTTTTACGCAATACTGGCTTTCTTATTTGACAAGCACTCTCACAACTGACGTTATTCTTTGTAATTGAAGTTTTGACTAACTAGTTATTTTAATGGCAGTTGTTAGTTGTAGCATAACTGAAATGAAAGTGACTAAATATTGCTAATGACTACGCACCAAGACTGTATTATTAGCATTATTAAATAACAATCATACCAGCCACCCAATGTAATACCGAAAAGCCATAGTAAGCAGTTACTTATATATATTTGCATTGTTTTTAAAATAACGTGTCTTTTTCAGACAAGAAGTATGATGTAATGTGCTTGGGAATTATTTATTCATTAATAAAAAATGATCAGTAACAGAATTCAAGTACCAAAGGAGTATCATACTTTCTAGGTTGTTGGAAGTGATCAACAGGAAACCTTAGATATGATTTTCGTGCTGGTTAGCATCAATCAGTAAAGCGTATCTACAGTTTCGAAACAACTGATGCACTTGCACTATCCAAACTCACGTCATACAGCTTCACAGTCTACATCATCAATGAGCTACTCGGTCAGTGACTGAGCTTCCACATGACTAGAATATCTAAATTAAATCATCACTGAATAGTGACCGATGTCGTCTTTGTGTTTTCCTTGAGTATTGATAGAATTCCATCTATCTGATTGTTATGTAGCCATTAACTTGAGCGACCCAGTATCTCTTGTTTTATGTTGAAATGTTAGGTAGTTGGAGGTAGCAGAATGGAATTATATTGGACAGTTTCTATAACTGGTAAATGCTGAATTAAATGAAGTCCTCACCGCACACTCAATATTTAGCCATTATCATGAATATTCGAAATTCACTTTAATTCACAATATCATTGTCCATTAAAGTGATTGTTTCCTACCTATTAATTTCATTTCTATTTTGTCAAATGATTTAACGTCATTAGTTAACTAAAAGATTTTGTTCTATATTCGTATAGAAGTTGGGTTTTGTTTATCTAATACTGAAGTATTTGTTTTCCGTAAATCAGTTTGTATATTTCTTTATATTACTATGAACTTATACTTTAATCACATGTTCAATTCTTAATGTTCATAGGGAGAGAGAATAGAATAAGTCAATTTAAATAGTCACTTCAAACAATTTAGAACATATGATACTTATAAACCCCTTTTTCTGTCATCAATGTAATAAAATGATAGTTTTCAATCAGGTGACTTTGTAATGTGGTGTCGTTTCACATTATTAGCTTGTGAATGAATGTAAACACTTGATAATAATATTATTAGATTTGATCTGTGTGAATTTATCAGAGTCTTATAATAGGATGAATCAACTTTCGTTGGATTCTTTCATTTAATGGTTCTTTGGTTAAAAGCAATTTATAATGTAAACTATGGAAATTCAATTATTTTTCACAAACCCCTTTTGATAATAGTAATCATGAATAACTTCGAAAGGTAATTTAGGGGGATCTAGTAAGAGGCCGTGACCAGTGAAGTTTAGGTATCTCTGATTTAAGACAGTAATCCACTGCAAGCGATAGAAAATGGTCATATGATAGTAAAAATCGACTTAAGTATGTATATCATTGAATGCCCACTCAATGGCACAAACTTCAGGTGTTCACCAGGAGATCCGTAGGTCCTGGTCTCAGTCGCTTGAGTTGCCATCGTGAAAACGCAGTGTTAAAGCTTCCCATACTAACATGAGACTGTTATTCAGTGTTTATATGTTTTGAATGGTTTTCTAACTAACATTAGTCTTGTAAGAAAAGATCGGTAGTGGATAGCAGAGGAATCCAGGATGCGCGTTTCGTCCTATTTGGGACTCGTCAGTTGGATGTACCTGCATCTCAGAGTTGATGTTTACTCTGGGACTCGAACCCAGTACCTTTCGCTTCAAACGCGATCGCGTTATCCTAAACATCAATGGGAAGATTCAAACAGACAATACTAAATGAATTTAAACTTCACACCATTACACAAACAAGTGGCTATCAAGACTCAACAGCAGAGTTATAAATATCCATTATTTATAACTTTTCTGAACCCTGATTAAGAAATAGTAAAATTCAGTTCTTAAATCAAACATTTATCGTCAAAGTATATGTTAAGCGAAACGGACTCATGTAATTTTAAATTGACATGCATTCTTGAAATACACTCCATGTATAAATATTCACGAATAATATACATCAAAGCTAGTTGCACCATCTTGCCGCCTTACCTGATTCAAATCGCCTTGAACATCACAGTAAAACTTAAGAAACATCTCAGTAACAAAAGGTCACAATTATTGCATATATTAATAAATTGAATTAAAAGTTAAATCTCATAATAGCTAATTTACTTCAATATGAGAATTAATGAACGCATGATTATTTCAGAAGTGGAACAAACATCACTAATATCAAATAGTAGTCACATCATCATAAAATATCAGTTATTAATAATTACAATCAGTAGATTGAATATATCATGGTGGTTGCAAGAGCTTTGAACGCTTAGTTTCATTCTATGTATGATCATGAAATGGTTGCTACTGGAAAGGTTCAATCTCCAACAAAACAACTACTATATACATCCTAATGCTTAATGATATACAAACCCATTCCAGTCCACAATGAAAACTAACTTATAGGTTGAACAAATTCCGTTAACCCCCTAAAAATACTATGAAGCGACCTCTAAAGCATTTTTCTTTCCTATTTACCGTAAATCTTTATATCCAAATATTAAAACAACAAAGAATCCATTGAAAAGAAATGTCAACATTTTTTATAACTAAACTGTTGATTTTTAATTGAATAAGGGGGGGGGAAGGGTAAAAGCATTACAATAAACCTTACAAATATTAGTAAATTGAAAGCAATATAACCCAATACTGACACATGTATAAAATGTGTTACGTTTTCTTGCCAACGTACATGCAAATCAAATCAATAATTCCCAGATATTTCTGTCCATAATAATTTAACAGGTAAATATAAACACATTGTATATCTAAATTAAATGATCAGAATATAAACTGAAGAAACAGGAAACGATGGTAGGTAACAATGACAATTGAAATACTAGAAACTAATACCAACTAGTGTCAATGTTGTATATTCAAGGTTTTCAATGTGTTTGCTTCATTCTGTATGTATGTTTGCATGTTTTCACTAACTAAAATAGACAGTTTACAAAATTCATTAGCAAAAGAAATATAGTTTAACTAACAAAGAGTTTCATTTAATCATTTCTTTTCTTTTCTTTTTTCTAGACGAAATGTGAATCTAAAGTCTAGTTTAGTATAGAAATAAAAAATAAGCCATTAATGTTTACATCTACTTTCACTTGACTTTTATCAAAGGAAACAATCATACTCTTTATTTCTTTTGATATATTAAGAAGAATGTAAGCACATACACAAACATAACAGAATAGAATAATAATTGAATAGGGTATATATATGAATGTGATCTATACTAAATGAATGGTTGATTGATTGTTTGAATGCTTTCATCTCTAAGATATAAATAAATATAAACTTTGAATAAATTAAATTAGAATCCATTGAATGTTGTCAACAAACAATGTAACATTTCGTTTCGTTCTGTTGACGGATGGAGAAAAGGTAATTGGAGGGGAAAAAAAGTGAACCGTAAACGATAAATTGAGTGAATATGCATGCAATATATTGTCTAGTTGTTGTTCAGAGAGTGTAGTTGAATGTAAACTATCTTGTTTTGTAATGAATTTAGCATTTTTTGTATTTTTTTTTTAAGTGGATTCATGTCATGTTATATGCTTTAGCGAATTCATCCGGTTACAGCATTGATGATAATAGTAATAATAATATTAGTGATAGTTGTGAAAAGGGGAAGACATACATGAAGCCAAATGCAATTGTTGAGAATATGTTTAGTTTTGTCTGTTTGTAAAAGCTTAATGATTGATTAGAGCAAAATGAAACTGAAGATTAGTGTAATCTGGGATTACAATGTTAGAATTCTTTCGAAACCAATATAAATATTTGATTGATTATGGGTAAGCACTGATGATTCACTAGTATGTTTTGTTCTGTTCTGTTTTATTTTATTATTTTTGTGTTTGTCACAAAATGAATTAAAGTTGAATAGTGAAGTCTGCGCTGACTGCATCAGAATAAGCCATTTGAGTAGGTGAAGGATCAGAGAATTGCATCATCTGAAAAAAAATTAAACATCAGTTTAAGTGATAATTATATTCATTTAGAGAGAAGAGAAAAAATGTATCTGGCAGTGGAATCCAACATGCGTGTTTAGTTATGTCTGATACATGACGCCTAGATTTACTTGCGTCCTCCAGCTTGATAATCACCCCAGGATTCGAAATAAATACCCTTCAAATTAACTTTCCAACGCATTATAAGCTAAGCTATTGAATTACGGTAATCAATGATTTGTTCAACGGGCATGAATTTTAATTCAATTTATAATGGTTTAGCTTATCTCGTTGTCAACATTTAGACTGGATTTTGATTATTCTTAGTTGGCATATATGCATCCTAAGCGAATTGTCTTGATAAAGCCATAAATTTCGTCAAGGACTTCATTACTAGCCATATTTCAATTATTCCATTAAAACATATGTATTATGAGATACATTAAGACAATTCAAACAGGATGTACATATTCCTGGTATGATTGATCAAAATTCAATTAAATTATCAACAACTAGTTAGTAGTCCAAACCTATAAAAGTTAAACTAAAACCATAGTAATTACAAAAGTGATTTATCACGATTGAATTATGTTAACATTCAACGTATGTATACTCACATCTAATGTCTGATTAGAAGTCAATCATATAAAGTTGTTAGTGATAACTTTACAAGTGAATAAATTTATTTGATTAAAAGGACTATGACTTTTCTCCTTATTAATAAAGATAAATTTTAAGGAACTGACCATAAAAATGTTTTTAAAAAAATAAAGTGATTAGTTTAAGTATTATCAAAATATGCGCTCAGTATACACTCAGTCAGTCAGTCAGTCAGCTACAACGTAGGACCAGGCACATATATGCATCGGTTCAAGTTGCCATATCTCATTAGCACAACAAAATGAAATGAACACCGAATTCATAGTAGTTAATTTAGTGATGGTAATATATAAAAGAAAGGTTGTATATAAAGATATAGTACAAGAAGAAAGATAGATATGAATTAATTTTATTCTCAATGTTTAAGTGCAGATAATGAGTGTATACACCTACGCCATCGTGATCGATTCTGAGCTATGTCACCCAGAGTCTCCAACCATTGGTTACGATAGTCACGCGGACCCTTACCAAGTAGTCTGTATTCCATTATTGCTCAATTATATAAAGTGGTAACATTCTGAAAAACAAATTATGGCTGGCTATAAACATCTTTGAATTTCAATCTGAACTAAGGATAGAGTGAGTACTAATACATTCTTTTTTTCCAAAATAAAGGGTAGTCATCGTACAAACTATCAGCCTTCATAACTATTCCTAAATAATAATAATAATCAATTACACCATTGTGAAAAGTGCAATTATTATTGGATAACAAGTTTGAGTGCAAAGAGGGAAATTGTTATAAATTGTGTATTAATCCGGCGGCTAATAGGAATGATAAATTTAAACTACAGTTGTTTTAATGTTATGTCTATTCTTTTTAATCTTCATAGTCATATCATCAAATTTTATTGTTGGAGATAAAACAAAGAAATCATAGTCGTTGTTATGTCAACCAAATAAACAATCTCTACAAACTGTTATTACTAATATATGGATTCAATTCTGAAATTCAATGAATTTTATTAAGAACTTTGAGCATTATTCATCCTGGTTTGTGACGTGAGATCCTAAAACTCCTAGTGACTTATTATCAAAATTATTTCTAGTTTGATTAGAATCTTCTAACAAACCCCTTCTGATCTATAATCATATGCTCACTAGTGACTGACTGTAAGGAATGTTTCCTTGAGTTCTAGTGGGACTCAGTGACCAATGGAGTTCAACCACGTCTGTTGTAGAGAAATCAACTCGCTGAAGACAATTGAGAACGGTTGCTCAACTTCGTGGATCAGTTGAAGTTAGACATTAACACCGTTGGATGCCGGCTCAGTGGTCTAAAGGTTAAGTGCTCCGGCGCGAAGCTGGTAGCTCCTGGGTTCGAATCTCACGGGTACGGGATCGTGGATGAGCACTGCTGAGGAGTCTCATAATAAGACGAAACGGCCGTCCAGTGCTTCTAGGTTTCGCATGGTGGTCTAGCTTCAACTGACTCATGATTTCAACTATGAAAACATTCATAAAAAGCCGACTAATTAAAACTGAATTAGCTATCTTTTTTGATATTCAAAAAGGTCTCACGAAGCATTAATAAATAATCATTCGTTATGGCTCATATTATTCATATTTCGACAATAACTTTATGACTATGACAAAATCATTGATGTAAATAAGTCTGAAGTTATGTAAAATGTACTTTAATCCATCCAAGTACATGTTTTGAAGCATTATATACCTCAATTCCGTAACGAGTTCAATAAAAACAACTTACTGTACAGTTGGTTATTCTTGATACAGAAAAGTAAATAACTTTTAATGTACCGTCAGCTATACGACATGATAGTTATTCTTAACAACACAAGTCTTTTGTACTTCATTAATTAAAGGTTCACTTTCTTTATCCGCAGCTGTTTTTGATAGAGTGAAACAATACTTAACCAAGTGTTGTTACAAAATTACAGAGTGCCTAAGTAAAATATGAAAATCACACATTAAATACATTATTTGCACATCTTCCTTCAGTTGTTTTTTTACATGCTTCGCGATTCTTTCAATTCCGTTGTTATTACAATTGATCTCTGATACCTTTTTGTTCTCTTCAATTCATTCTTCTCAATCTTCCGCCTTTAGATATTCCACTTCTGACTGCTGCTACATACTACTTATATCTGTCAGCATAAGTAGGATGCACTAGATAACGAGTTATTGTTTGTGTTGAATGAGTTGAAATTCATAAAAAAAGTGGTTAATTGATTCTTGTGTTAAAAATTAGCTACCTTTCTTGTCCATTAATAAATTTTCGATTATTTTTCATTTAAATGAAATGAAGTATATTCTGTTTCCACAGATGGACATCACCTCTGAAACTATTGAAAACTAAAAAATACTAAATAGTCGTTTCATCCTCGTTTTAGATTTGACATCAGTGTACACTTAGTCAACTAATGAATAAACTTTACTAAAATTCTAATTAAGTAACAAAAGATTACCTCTAGATTGGATAATTTGCATAGATACAATGCATCTATTTGATATTATCTCGACTTATATTAATTAAGTAGTAATGACCACCAATAAACGACAATAATAATTACAAATAATAACAAATAGCTACGATGAAAATATCTAAATCTACAATATTCAGATGAACAAGCATAAACAAGCACATATACATACCCCCACACACACACACATAGAAGGATCTACACATATGAAAGATGAAAATGGATGAATGTACACCTATGAAAAAAAAAGTCGAATTATTCTATAGAAAAATATAGATTCATGCGAGTTGATAAATTTGATTGTTGAGGATGATACCAATGACATCAGAAAATTGAAATATGGAAGAAATCACTTTATACTACTTATCATACACATGCAATGAAAACTACTGAAGTATAGATGTACAGATAATCAGTGTAAAACTAATGAAGAAATATGTAAAGGTTAAGGATAAGGATTAAGGTAATACACGATGTTAGTTTACAAACTACTTAAAATGACTTTTCGCCAAATGATAATACCAATCAGTGAAACTAACTATGAATAAGATTAGAAAATCTACTGTTATAGATAAATGCATCTATTTTAAGTAACTTACTGTGTTGACAAAACCTATGAATTAGTCTAACTTGATTGATACAAGAAAAATTGTATGTAAGTTGATCATTAAAGTTCATTGTAAATTATGGTATATCATTGACAGATCACAGAATTTATGTACTTACCATCAGGTCAAACTGTTTATATAACCGGTAGTTACACTAAAATGTTGCCTAAACCAAGTTAAGTGGAATAGTATTGGAACCTAGGACATAATGATCGAAAGCCGAATGTGTTTTAGCGATAAGGCCACTGGTCCAGCTTTTAAGTAGTAGTTGTGTAGTGAACGAGAGTACAAGTGGGGACAACCAAAGGCATTCTGATACAACATTACAGAATATCATGGTAAAATCTGAAAACCATATAGTAAATACTTCAATTGCAAAATATCCATCAGTTGTCTCATACTTTGTTATTCTTTCGTTTCCTCATCAATCACACTGTTCTCGTTCCCTTTTCTCATACTACTTATATCTGTCGACATCAGTAGCACCCGTCACAGTAGTAGTTTTCATCTTATTTTTATAGATTTTTAAAAACAAAACTATAAATCTGACATTCCAAAATAATAAAAACGTAGACCGTGAGTATTTTTCGGGTATGCCTTGTTGATAATATTATGGTCAATAAATTCTGTATGAATGTCCCATATTCACATTTGAAAATGAAGTATTACTTAAATTTTCAACAAGAATCTGTCAGAATACTTAAACTGTCCAAGTTGAATACGACATAATGATATCCTCATTGTTATGAGGTAATTATTAGTATCATGACGAAATTTCCTATGAGTACCCATTCAGTTCACACTGTGTCGTCATCAGTCTACAATCCAATAAGTTTGTTTTATATCTGTCGTAAGCACTGTAAGTAATAGTAAATAGCTAAGTTGCATTAATAACTAAAACACTACTATTTAATTCCGATGAAAGACTTGACAACTATTTAATTTGAACACTGCGTAGATGGTTGATAGACAAGATTTTAAATCCTTACTGAAGCATACTAGCCGAATTACGTGTAGAATGTCAATCAGACTATGTAATATCATAGTGTATAATATTGACGATGAGGCAAATGTATGTCAATTGAAGCTAACCCTTGATAACCGTGTTTTAGTCTAATGATAAAACATTTTTTCTAACATTTTCACTTTTTGTTGGGTAATAGAGCATTTTGAGGATAACAACGAGCTTAATTTGTGAAAGTGTCCACTATTTCAATAATATTTTTTAATTAAAATTGAGTCGAAATGAATTTGCTGTGTCCTATAGAAGATGAGAAACTAAGCACTTGGACATGAAGTACTAAAAAAATCTATTTCATCAATACATAGTAATACAAATATTTTCCGTTTGATCAAATGAAGGATAAAGCCGATAACAAGAAACAAGATTTGACTGTTAAAAGTAGCAAAAGTTTACAATGGTTTGGACTTTGAGGACATAATATTAAGGGCTATTGAAGGAATGTTTAAATTTACATTCTGTGTTAATTGTTAAGCATCCATACAGACTGTCTCAAAGTTATACACATCTATGTATGCTAACTTAAACCAACTATTATTTCTCGTTGCTCTCTGTACAACAGCAAAATGGATCTTGTTCTAAACACAGTGCAGTTGTGTATTCCCTCTGCACTAATAGCTTAGTGTTTGTTTATGATGGATTGGTAAAACGAAATTCAGTGGTATTGGATAAACCATCAGTTAGAATAACAGAAAGATCAACTCAAGCCCCTTGTGTTCTTTAGATTATTCAGATTTGAAAAACTCGCTTAATTATAAAGCACCATGACTAATAAATTTCAATCGATATGCAGTTATTAAGTAGAATGAAAGTTCAATATTAAAATAATACGAAGAGCAATGACCTAACTGTTTAATTAATAAACAGGAAGTGTGCAAACTTATTCCGCCCGAAAATGACTCTCTTAGTGCTTGTTCTTAGCAAATAGATTTTGCTAGTTTATGTAAATAAATAAGAGGCATAATTGTAGACTGTAGCGGAAATTTCTTCTGAAGCCTAGAAAACAATATTTTTATGGATGTAGTGTTATTTATTCATTTTTAGTTCCCAGAGGTGACTCGATAAAATTAATTCAAGAGATTTTTGGCAACCGCTACATTATCAAGAACGAGCTGATTTTGGATAGACCACTACTGAAAACGAGGTTGTACTGGAAAACTGTCTATCCTCAGTATTGGGGCTCCCCAGTAGTAAATATTAGCGACCACACATTATAGGACACTAAACCCAGAACTTTCATTTGATGATTTAAATTATGAACATTCTACAATCCCCACAAAATCTAATGCACCAACATCTATATTTATAGTTACCAAACAGACAACATTTATAAGCAGGAGAAAGTAAGTAAACATCACTAATATTATAACTTACAGAATTCACAATCGGTGGTGACATTAACGGCGATGATGGCGGTGGAGGCAATGTCACATTTTGAGCAACAGGCGCCATAGGTGGTGGTGGCGGTGGTGGTGTTGGTGTTGGCTGAGCAGGCGGTGGAATATTCCGTGGTGATTCAACTGGTGTCTGTGTTTGTCCAGGTGGACTAATTGTTAATGGCTGAAACATTTGTACAGGCGGTGAAGGCTGGTCCGGACGTTGATTCTGTAAAAGAAGAAATCAGTCTTACAGTCTATATCTTACAGGAGATTGGTAACAGCTTGAATAGCTCAGTCACAAGCTGCTTTGACTGTGAAACTGGTTGACATTAAATCGTATCCTCCAGAAACTATCAGTTCTGTCAAGATCAGTTTCAAAAGCACAAATTCTATGCGAAGCAGGGTTTCCTGCTGACTAAATCCAAACACTACCTTACAAACTATCTACTTATTCATTGTATTTTCATTTATCAATCTTCAACAGTTTGTCAACTGGCTTGTCGAGTGCTCAATAAGCACATTGTTCTCTAGAGAACAAGAATTATGAGCAAGATGCTACACTTATGAGTAAGCTATACTGAAGTTATCATTTATCAAGTGTCATTAGAAAGTGAATATTTCTATTGTGCATTGTCATTTAGTTTAATATCAGACTGCAGTGAATAGACCAGTCGTCCCTCTTTTGAGAAAATTAATAACTAAAATATAAATACATATATAATACAGTGTAATTTTTATTCAAGTATTTAACTAGTTAATGACCATAGTACAGTGAAATTTTTAGGCTCTCCAATTGTTTACAACAGAAATACGTAAAAGTCTACAAATCGAACTAGACAAAGTTTATTTTTAACACTTAGTCAGTTGTTGTGTTAGACCAAATAAACACTTACAGGCGATGCATTCAACCTGACCACTGTTGTATTCGGCTGTTGTTGTTGTTGTGGTGGTGGTGGTACCGGAGCGTGAAATTGCGGCCGAGTTGGTTTTTGCATTGCTGGAGGCTAAAATACATGAGAAAGGTGTCAAAATTAGTATACGAACTTAGTTACTTCTTCAACGCGAAAGCTTATATTATTTATGACGATTTGTGAACAATAGCAGTTATTTGTTTTGTTGTATCGGTGAACAGAAACACATTTCCTAGGTGGGTTGTTTTGCGTCCCATGTAATTATGCTGTAACGACAAGAAAAAAATCCTATAAACTATCTCTCTTGCACACGCTATTTCAATTATCGATCAGTTCACCTATATAACCAGTGGGGCTAATAACCTCCTATCTACCAGTTAGCACATCGACCAATCAACAAGTAAGAATTTAAAGCTTTTCGTTCCTCAGGCTCTATTTAACCTATTAGCTTATCAGAAGACAAAATTGGACAGCAGATCAGTCCTTTGTTGTAATTAATTTGCTCATGACTGAAAACCTATACAGGAATATGGCTACAATAATCAGATCACATAGAAACATAATTAGAGAAATACGATGCGTGTAAAACCTAGTTACGTGATACAAAAACATAGTTTTCAGTTTTGGGTTGTGGAGGTTGTTGAATTTCATTACAAACATGAACCGATCAATTTTAGGCAACAATTGAAAACATGGAGGCAATGGGCTGCACGTTCTTCCTAGTATGGGACTCCTCAGCAGTGCACATCCACGGCTGTGCATTGGGGATTTGAACCTAGCACCTTTGGTCTAGCCCGCGAACGTTTGACCTCTAGCCCACTGAGCTGGGATCAACTGGCGTTAATGTTTGACTTCAACCAATCCGCGATGTCGCGTGCACATCTTCCGTTGCCTAGGACGAGCTGTCTGTCCAGTGCTTCCAGGTTTTCGATATCAGTCTAACATTGTTCCGTTCATGATTTCCATGAAAACCATAGTTATAGGGGAATATTTACTTAGTGATTAATCTGGAATAATAAAATATATGACAATGATAATGAGTCAAACAAAAGCTTTTAAATAGGAGAACATAAAAGCACAACAGTATAAGCATCTAATAATTATACAATGAAATATCTGTAATAGTTCTTTGTACAATAGACTTTAAAGTCATACTTCCTCACTGTTCATGCTAATAGACTGACAATTCTACATGAGTGGAATTCTTAAATGTATCAGTTTGCAAAAACTTGTCAGAAGACACGAATATGTGTTCGCTTGAAACTAGTGTGTAAACTTTTGGAGTCATTACTAGGAGAAAGTTAAGTGTATTTTTATTGTAACCGTGCTACGGCACACTTCAAGTTAAGAAAAGAAGTACAGGCAGCTCTTATGGGTTAAAACTAAGCATGTAAATGGAATATTTGATGGAATAACGACCATTTTTCATTGAAAGACTATTATTAACTGCAAAACATCAACTAACTCAGTAGGTCAATAGCAGTAATATCTCAAAAATACATATGTATTCAGAATGTTATATTATCATCAATAAAAGCCCATTTACTTGGAAATTTTGTTGTTGATGTTGTTGCTGTTGTTGTTGTTGTTGTGCCTGATACTGTTGTGTATTTGGTGCTGTTGTTTGTTTTTGATATTGAACATTATTCGGTTGAATATTCTGCGGTTGAGGCTGTGGAGGTGGTGGTGTTCTTGGTGGTACACTAGAACGTCTATTAGTACGTAATTGTGATTGAACACGTGAATAGAGATTTTCTGTTTCTTCAACATCTACACCAGCAGCAGATCGACCACGATTTTCAAGTTCTTAGAAAAATAGATGCATGAAAAATTTCGAGCAACTTTACTAATTAACTAACATTACCAGGTAAAAATAAAAAATAAAATAAGAAGAATTGGACAGATGTTTCAAGTTGTTTTTGCAACTCTCCACCTGTAAGTACTATGGAAGATCTTTAAATCTTATGGTGCTACTCGGACAATATAATTTAATGTATTAAAGGTAAACAAATTAAATCCCAAAGTTTAAAAAATTTCCATATTGTGAATTAGAAGAACATAGATAAGCGAATAATATTGTTTTCAAGTAGATCCTCATTAGGCTTCACTCTAATACACGGTAATATTTATATGTATAAACGAAATCATTAAACCAATCTCACATAAAAATATGAGAGATGTACTAGTTGTGATAGGAATAACAAGGGTCTCAATTAATATTTTATGATAGGAAATAGGTCACTGACTTAAAATCTTAAGATAATGTAATACGATGTGTTCAATGAAGTGTATATTTGAGAAATGAGAAAAAAACCGGTGAGTAATGAGAGACAAATGAAACAAGACATTAAATAGGAATAATTCCTTGAAAAAGCTTGGACCAGATTGCCAGGCGAAACGTTGGATTCAATTTAAAAAATTCATTCGCTGAGATTTTACAAATATATTATTCCTATTTAATGTCTTACTTCAACTCGGCGCTCAAATACTGTGAAACTATTCGTTCTAATTTAGACGAGAGTTCTTATAAATGAAACAAGAGTATGGGAAATAATCAGAACTAAAAATTTTCTATGGAGGTTAATTTGGTCAAGGAAGAGACAAAGGTGTTACAAATTTCTCGTGAATATAAAGACTTAGGTTAGTATCTCGAATCCCTACAGCTTCTGCTATGTGTAGGAGACGAGATCGAGTCCCGTAAGGAAATCTAGTAGGAATTTGAATAACCTATTTCTATCTACTACATAATTGCTATCGATCAAGTGTGGTAGAACAGCGCTGTGTACTGTTTTGACGATACCCTTTCCTAACCATAAAGGAGGCGTTCACTAACTCGTTGGCTCAGAAGTCTGCTTGTGCACTCAATACAGCTTTCACTACAAGAGGAGCCGAATTCGTTGATACACACATATGTTTTAATAACTGAATTCATTAGTCGATCTGAGCTAGACCACCATGGAAAACCTGAAAGCACTGGATGGTCGTCTCGTCGTAGTTTGAGACTCTTCAGCAGTGCGCATCCATGATCTCGCATGAGGAACACATAGATGTGGCAGAACCAGGTAACTTAGGAATCACCACAGTTTGGCTTATAAACAATAAACAGAAGTTAGCTGCAATAAACATTCTCTTGATTGCTCTAGCCTGATGACGATCTAATTGAAAACACTATTGTTCGCTTATAAATATTTTTGTAAAAATTTAGGACTGATAGTTTTACGACTCAATCTAGAAGCTGTGATATTTTCACAATCTAATAGGATAAACTGATTTGATAAATCGGTTTTCATTATATATTTTACTACAATACTCAGTGGTTTAGTTTATACATATTTTCAACTAAAAAATCACCTCATAATCCAGCATGAATATTTATAACTTAATTTGGAAAACATTACTTCTCACTAGACTTAAAAGTAGACAACCGGAGAGAATACTTGCATTAATTCAATGACTCTGTGGGAAGTTAAACATATCTCTGTTACGATAACAGAGTATTGAAAACGTTCTTAGACTTGTCATATCATCCAAACACAATGATTACACATATCTAGTTTGAAGATTGTAAGTACGGCATAGTTTTTGTTAAGTAGAATCTACTATTGTAAGAGATTATTATTATCAGAAGGGGTTAGACATAAACGCCATGGGATACCGACTCAGTGGTCTATCGGTTAAGTACTCTGGCGCGAAACTGGTAGGTCCTGGGTTCTAACCTCGCAAGGCAAGTCGTGGGTGCGCACTGCTGAGGAGTCCCACAATAAGACGAAACGGCTGTCCAGTGCTTCCAGGTTTTCCCTGGTGGTCTAGCTTCAATTGACTCACGCTTTTCAATAACAATTCCAAATTTTCACACACATGTGTTTGTGTGTGTGCGAGCATAATAAAAATGAATAATGTATAAACATAAAGTAAACATAACAGATGGTAACACATGAACTCACCTCGTTCTAAACGTCGTAAATCAAGGGCTTGAGCCTTTGGTTTACGAAAAGCTGATGAAAGTTCATCGCTACATTTTACCTTTTTCAATTGTGCAAGTTTTTTGAATGGATTTTCTACAACATTATGAACATTAAAATTAAACATTTTATTCAAATACAACGTTGAGTTGTCAGAAATTATTGAAATAAAAATTGTACAGTATTGAGAGACACGATTCATAAGTCAGAAACCTAGTTATAATTTCTCTACTCCACGAATGTCTAGCATTCTAAGCTTTGACTAATTCTACACTTTGACTGGTTAGACTAACCTTGAGTTGAGTCGAGACTAAACGGTTTAAAACGTGTTCCAATTAGTTCGAATAAGAGAACAAAGCAGTCAAGATTTTATCATCAAATTTCAACCACCCAGTAAATCTCTTTCAAAAACTTATTACTTTATATACATGACTTATCAGACCACAATACACCTCGAATTGGAAACCATACCTTGCAGACAATCACACTATAACAGAACGGAACAATAATTAAAGGATAATGAAACTTATTTCCATAGTTAATAAGTTCAATGGTAACATACAATCCAGTGAATGTATAAATACAATAAATCACATATTTAATAACGATATAACTAAAATGTAGACAATAAAAATCCTTAAGGTAGTTTGGAAAGTCCTGATGTCTTCAAAAAATGGCTTGCTATAGCCCATTTTATAATTCCTCAATCTTAAACGGATTGTAAGCATACACTTTTATACTACGTAATTGACGTAACGGAAAAAGTAGATACTTGAATTTATATAGAATAGATGGAATGTGGCTTGCAGTGGGATTCATGACTCGCGTTTCGTCCTATTTGAGACTCACCAGCAAAATGCATCTACATTCCATAGTTGATAAAATTTTATTTAAAATATCAACAACAGAATCATTCAAACGACTGAAATTAAACTAATATGCTTGGATTGTAATTGGATTGGGTCGTAAATACAGCATGGCAGTTGTATTATCCTCTCCGAGCATTGATAACTTCTCATAGGTCATCTATATAGCATCAGTGACCAGATAATCGATGACATGTTAATAAGGAGATAAAAGCTGAGAACACCGCTTAGAGAGTATTGGTCTAAAATGCAGTTCTCCTGCCTTCGCTCACCCAATAACCAGAAGCGAACACAGCATAAAAACCATATTACGATGAACAAACTCACTAAAACATACCTAGATTTATTAAAGTGACATTCATTCAGTATAATGGGATTACGTATTTTTGTTGCAGTTTTTTTCATCCGCCCCCAAATGCCCTGTTACGGCCGAGAGTGGGGAGAGTCCGCTCTCCCTCTCCAAATGCTCTCACATGGCCAACGGATATATAGCCTCTGACAGGGAAGTCCTACTCATTCCCTTATCGTAGCATTACTGTTGTTTACGAAATTGACAGGACGGAAAGCGAATGTCCGGTGCTTTAACCGGGTTGGTGGACATGGAGGGTCCACCTAAGGGAGTTGGAAAACCCTCATTCTAAACCAATGGTGCACATGGGCTCCGGTATCCTGAAGGAACGAATGGCGTATGAATCAATCGTTGGTCACTGGCTACCATGGGACTGCATCTCCTCACGATGCTCCACTGCCTTGTGGACTAGACCTTCAAGTCAAAGGCTCTGGATGTGGCCTACTAAGTAAGCCACCTGTTTCAGTTTGGGCATCTGGGCAGTATCACAGCCCTCATACAAATTAAATGAGATTTGTGTGGCGTATATTTATCTGGTGCTTTCTTGTACCAATACTTATGTGTTTAAATAAATAAATAAATTTTTTTCATCCAAACGTCATAGAAACCATAAAGACCAAAAGTAATATTTATGTCCTGCAAGAGTCGACAGTTGATTTTCAACTGTCTTATTGATCTTAATAAACTAATAATTTTATTTCTCCTTTGATTATTATAACAGATCCAAACCTTTTCTTGTCTCTTGAATAACATTGTTTATCAGCCAGTTTCTTTTTTTATTTTACATAGAAGTTTTAAGCTGCTTTGCTTTAGACTAACAACTCGATTTACTTATCTGACAAAGGTTTTCCTGGCAGGATTATTGCTTGTTTCACAGTTCTATGACAGACACTTCACTTTGGATATGTAGAGTAATAATGTGACCAAACTATGATGCTTAGCTAAAAAGTAGGTTACTTTAACATATTTTTATTTCACTTCATATTAATTGAAAAGAGTCGACAGGTAGCTTTGAGATTTCATGTTTTGTGGTGCTTGGTACTGATCAGAGACAAATAATTGCAACTTTGAAAGAGCTGAGTTTACTTGTGGGATTTAAGTACACGTATCTCCGTGGCATATTCAGAAAAGACGTCTCCTTACAGAATTCCTGTCCTTACGATTGTTAAAGCAATTAGTCCCTTTGACAAATTTCGATAATGTTATAAGAAGACGAAGATTATCATAACTATGTGATATGGTGGCGCAATACATTTCGAAAAATCTGATCACACATATACTTGTTATGAACATTTATATACAAAAATAAAGGGTCAACTAGACTGGAAATGGGGATAAGAATAGACAAGGATAATAATAATAAAAATAATGTGAAAACAAATTGACACCTAATCACTCTGATAATAAGCTAATACTACCAGGGTAGGTTTAAGGAGAGAATAAACTGTTTTTAAATACACAAAGGGGGTTTGAATTTCCGTATGGCTAAGGCTTCAATAAACATTGGTATACGCCCTTTTACACTTTTATACAACAGCACAAAAGTAGAGTTAAGATCAATCTTATGACCTGTTTCGATTATATGTTTGGCAATAGAGGATGATGGATGTTTATCCTCTACTCTTATTAGGTCATTCGATTCTATTTGTTTCTGCAACCATTTTTGTACATATTCACACACCCTAATTTTCAGATCACGACTGCTTCTCCCTATGTATATCACATAGTTGTGATAATCTTCGTCTTCTTAGTACATTATCGAAATAGTAAGTATCTCTCAATATATTTCATTCATTAAAATGTTATCAGTACAAGAAATCATTTTCGTACGAAAGATAAACTGAATTATACCAGAAAACTAATAGTCGAATATCAATTGTTTAATCGTAAGTTAAATGAAATGTACTTTCTATTCAATGACAAGTATCAAATGTCACTATTGTAACGTTTTAATGAACACGTGTTACGATATTATATACATCTCTTTTTTTTCTTTCTTTCACCTTCGCAACACAGTATACACTTTTATCTTACAAACTATTCAATCTGGAGGGACTTTTTTTCCTTTTTATATCAAATTCTTTTGACAGTTGAACTATGTAAGTTGTAAATTAATTTCAATAAAGTGATAGCTTTTTAGTTACGGTTGCAAATAGTATATAGGAATAGTTTTGTTACATCGGAAAAAGGGGGACAGATAGACATCAAAAGAATGAATAGAACTTGGCAACAACTAGAAAAGAGAGCCCAAGATAGAATAGGTTAGGGAATTCTGTTCGGCGACCTATGCTTCACAAAGAGTAACTGCTATAAGTAAGTATGTTACTTACTTACTTACTTACTTACTTACGCCTGTTACCCCTCGTCGAGGAGCATAGGCCTCTCACCAGCATTCTCCATCCAACTCTGTCCTGGGCAATCCTTTCCAGTTCTTTCCAGTTTCTATTCATCGTTTTCATATCTGCTTCTATTTGTCGGCGTAATGTGTTCTTTGGCCTTACTCTTTTCCGCTTCCCTTCCGGATTTCAAGTTAGGGATTGCCTTGTAATGCACATTGGTGATTTCCTTAATGTATGTCCTATCCACTTCCAACGTCTGTTCCTAATTCACTCTTCAGCTGGAAGTTGGTTTGTCCTCTCCCACAGAACGCTATTGTTGATAGTATATGGCCAGTGAATGTTGAGTATTTTGCGTAGCTAACTGTTTATAAATACTTGTACCTTCTTGAAGATGGATGTAGTAGTTATATATACTTACTTATATATACTTACTATAAGCAACTAAGTATATCATACCAAAAGAAAATATTTTTATTCAGCCTGTTATAAGAAAATAATTGTTAAATTTAGATCTTATAGTTCATTCATTGGCCTGTGAAATTTAGTCTCACTTATCACATGATATCAGGTATGTTCTACCTTTAGACTTTTGTGAAGTGTCTAAATGACATAAAAATATTAATTTATGGTGAAAAAGTAATTTTACATCAAACTCATCCTAAGTAAAGTCGTACAGTATGATCAAATAACAAGATCCTATTTTAAGCAAAGATGGATAGTGGCTAGCTGACGAGTCCCAAATAGGACGAAACGCGCGTCCTGGATTCCACTGCTATCCACTATCCACCTTTGCTTACAATGCATGTGAATTAAGGCTATATCGAGGCAATACGCACAGTATGCACATATGCCAATTAGAGACTGACCAGTTGCAGTCCTAACACATCGATGAGAAGATTCAAACAAACAATACAAAATGAATTTGAGATCTTATTTGTTTTTAAAAAGTAAACAAGATTCTGACTTCCACAAAATTCAAAAATTTGATATTAATATTCATTACAGTTACCTGGTTCAACATGACGTAGATCTGGTCGAAAATCTAATTGTGGTTCAATAATTAATATTGTTTCAGCAGCAGCTTCACCCATATTATTTCTTGCAACAGCTTTAATATGTAATTCACCAGGTGTACCAACACGATGAAATTCCAAATTACTAATACCACCATCTTGAAATATTCTCCAGTTTCCGCCACCTCCAGACTATTGATAAACAAGTGATTGGGAACAATGAAAATTCATGGTTTACATTGATATGTATGTTTTTATGTATTGAAAATGACATATTTTCTTATGTTGTTCATTAATATATATGCTTTTAGTATATGTGTTTAAGTTCAACTAGAACTAATTTCTCAGCTGTACATTTACTCAGTAAATATTCTATTACTATCGTGTTATCCTATGCATCACCACAGCAATACTGGAAATCATGAGCTTCAAAATCAAACTGATATTTATGTCAATGTGAACAGCAATTAACTTATCAGTTAGAAATTGATTTTAGTGAACGAGGTCATCTTAATAATGTCCATAATTCACTTCATTAACACTCCTTAAATAATGATAAAGTTTACAATAGTAGAGACAACAAACTATGTTGCTTCATACTTAAACTATTCAGCTTAGAGAATACAACAATTGGAACACTTGGATGTTGAGCTACAAATATTCACCATCATCTCAAGATGAATAACTTAATATTATTTATTTCAACTTGTAGGGGCTATATAGACACCTATACTCATAATTTTCCGTAGTTGACATAGAAAAAGCAAACCTTTAACATACTAGTTGGTTGAATTAAATGTACACACTATTTTTTTCCAGAACAACCTAATTGATACCTTATAGGTATTGATATCATATAGAATCCGAAATCTTAATGATCAATATACATATAAAATACAGGTCCCAATTACTGTCAAGACAAAGATAAGAATTTAATTTCAACATAAAAGTTTGCTTTTAGCTTTAACCCATACTAAATGAATTTTATAGAATCATAACAGGTAAATAGTTTCATTTATAGGATAAAAATTGGATGATAACGAATGCTATGATGTCCCATCCTAAGTATAGATCAAACTCTCAGAATCCTGTCCCAACGCGGTCTCCCGTTTGAGTGACTTGACACTACGATGAGCGTCTAGATATTTTCAGAGGTCAAAGTTAATCTAAAGAATGTTTCAGACTAAGTTGGTACATGTCAATATGATGTAACCGTGATCGTTAGGGCACAGATTTTCTAGTGAAATGGGATTATACTCTCATCAGATTGTATGTCAGACATTTCGAACTGATTTATTTCTGATAAACAATATGAAATAGGTAGTTATATTTTGACAAATTTTGGTGTAAACATCTACAACCTACAGAAGATCTATCATGATCCAATTTCTTCGCACCACCACCTATGGTTACCAAATGACCTTTCAGAAGTGATCTGAATATCAGAGAACAATGTGTATTACTACATACATGTCATCACTACGAAGTTACCATCGTCACAGTATAGAACAACGTTACTTCTAGTTGGAAATGAAGAGTTTTGCAATACACTCTCATTATTCAGCATACATTTATGCTTGAATCTCATAAAAATCAATTTATTTTCTCAGATGTCTTAAATAATACGATTGTTGAGAGATACTTAAAAATATTCTGATTATGTGGTCTCATTGTGGGATCTAATTCTGTTGAGTTTCTAACCGATTACTATTTTCAGCGAAAATAATGAAGTAGACTGTTAAGTAGATCAACTGCCATCTATTCAGTATCGATTTCATTCATTACTATCAAACTTATTTATTAGTGTAGAGCATTAATGGAAAAAACAAGTTTAAAATTTACGATCCCGCGTGCGGGGCTCCAACCCAGGACGTTCGAATCTCGCGAGTGGGACCGTGGATGCACACTGCTGAGGAGTCCCGTGCTAGGTTGAAACAGCCATTCAGTGCTTCTAGGCTTTCCATTGTGATTCAACTTTAATCGACTAATGGATTCAACTATTAAATATGAGTTAAGTAATCGAATTATTAAGATGTAAAGTACATAAAGTTATGAATTTATGTATGGACTAGTGAAGTAATATGTTTGTTGGTTGACTGTCTTTGTGTTGAATGAACATTATCTAGACTACACTCAGGTTCCATATACTTGGACATGAATCGTGTAACTCATGTAAAATTATACCATTCTGTGTATAGCATATTGATTGGGTATCCGGCCTAATTATGGCACAACTCTCGATTATTAGTCGGCCATATTATCTTATAACTAGTAGTATATCGTACTAAAAGAATATAAAGCTGTCTAGTAAGGAAAATTTAAACAATATCATACACTGACTATCATTTCAAAACTTCTATGAATTAACTAATAAAAGTCCAGTCATTTATAAACTTACTGAGGCTATCAATTCTCCATTAATATACCAGAATATTTTAGGCTTTGGATAACCACCTGCTTTAACAATAAATTTAGCTGGCGAACCTTCAGTGACAGTGACAGCAACTGGGAGAATGTCAAATGATGGTGCACATGGTGGTTCTTCTTCATCTCTTTTAACTGTATCATAACTATGAGGGAATTAAATGACAATAATAAAAATAATTTACAATATCATTACAAAATGTTTTCATTTCTCATGTATCGGTGATATTCTTGAATGAATTTTGACCGTTATAGATTGGCTTTATGTATGCTCTGTGAGGACTGCCTAAATATAGTCATTCTTCATACGTTTTTTGTAGAATATATGGATTGTAGCTAGAATCAAGACCCGAGATGCAAATTATATCGAATTTAGAACTTGTCAGTTGAGGTGATATACAGCTTTGTGTTGGTATTCACATCGGGACTTCGAATATGATGTACAGGTAAATCATGATGGAAGAAATTTGGAAGTCCTAAATAGCTGCTTCATTCTAATATGTGACTCTTCAGTAGTGCCCATTCACGACACCACCACAGAGGGCCAAAATCTGGACCTGTAAGGCTCATGGTAAATCTTGAACATTTAGACTGGTGAGTCAATATTCAGTGGTGCACAAGTTGAACCTCAAATAATTCACGATATTACACTACCATTTTTATATTTAATCAAACAAATAGTTAAAGAAATAAGTTTTTCATATACGTTCAATCACCAAACAGTAATTTCATATTTTTCCTACTAAATTTTCTTTATGTAAGCTCAGAAAACAACTGAACATTATTTGTATCTATTACTTGTTGTGATTTTCTTCCATTTTTTGTCTCAACTTTTATTTCTATCAGTTTATAAAAAGGAACTTAAAATCATTATGAGAAGAGTTGAACAGTGGCTTGTAGTCGAATGCGGGTCGTGCATATGTTTTAGATGTGCTTACATATCAATGTTGATGTTTATATCAGAAGTCGGATTTTAGTTCACGCAACGTGTTATCAACTAATCTAATGAGTCCAAATAACCACTATCTTGTCCAATAAGAATAGATTCTCATTAGTATGTAAGGGCTATTTAAATTATCCCGTTGTTGATGTTAAAGACCGCAACCGTTCAATCTATTTTGAAAAAGCTCATGGTTCAATGTCAATATCAACACAATGCTCACAGAATGCATAAATGTTAAAAGAAAACGATCAATTAAAGTCCTTAACATCAACCACAGGAGGATTCACGACATACCGTGTATATAGTCAACTAGTTTGCGTTATAATCTAATATACATATATACATAAATACCTATCAAGAATTATCAAGAATAATCATTGGTGTACTTTTCTTTACACAGAGGCAAACTGAGATTATCTCAGACAAATAAAAATGAAAAAATCATAAAAAAGGTTGTCAGTAAAACTTCCAAAATGTAATATTTCTTTTCATATGAAATGAATGGCTACTGAAATAGTTTTGTAAATACTACTTGTATTTACAATGATTTACTTTATCTGTGACTCATATTTTTCTTAGACTTTAAATCACTAACTGATTAAAGTTAGACCATTATTGAAAATCAGTCAGCATTAAACAGTTTTTCCGTCCTAGTATGGGAAAGACAGTATACAATAATGGCTTTTTCCTGCCATATAACACCTGTGTGGGCCTATTCTAACTTTAAAACAGATTTTGATAACTCAGATAGCATGTAACTATTTAATCGTTTTTACCGTCCTAACTATGCTGTTCTAATCATAAGTGAAAAAGACCATCATAAGACATACATCTCTTATTTGTACCCTTGTGGTTCTACACTTCTATGTATCATGTGTGTTTGTCCGTACTCTTGATACTATCTTGCGTAATGTATTGTCCATTATGACTTACATTGACACTTGTATTCAGTAATATTTTGACCTTCTATCTTCTCCACTTCACATATATTTCTGTTCGTCTGTCTTCCAAATTAAATGTATGAAATACATATATCTCAGCCACTTTCGTATTAGAATTTTTATGATTTAAGTTGTATTGACGTAGTTAGTCGACATAATCTATGTGCACTTAAGAAGTAGGACACATGTTTCATTACTATTACTAACATCATTCGTTCATTATGAAGTCAACAATGAGGACTAAGACACTGATCCTGGTGTACATTAGAATACATAAACAAGTTAATATAACAGTTGTATTATTGAAATTCTTTAAATAACCTACCCTGCCATTGCATCACTTTCCCAAGCATCCAAACTTTGAAGATATGAAATTGATTCTTTCGATAATACTGAACTAGTAACAATATGTTCATCTGCATTACATCTGTAATATAAATTGAGGTGGGGGACGGTAGTATAAGATATAATATTTAAAGACATAACATTTTTATTGGAAACATTCATTTGTAAACAGATTACACCAGTTTATTTATCCAGTAATTTCACATTGACAGAATCAACAAAGTAGAATAAATAGGATTATGTAGTTTATATAAGAGATTGTAAAAACAGTTAATGACATAGAACGTAAATATACTACTTATGAGCAACTACACTGAAAATTACTCACATTTCAATAAATGAGTAAAACTAATGAAGTTGATAAGAAACAACAGTCATTTAGAACATTTTGGATCAAATAATCATAGCATTGAAGATCTTCGAGACACTGCAGGATTCAGTGAAACGATATTGTCAGATAAACTGCAGTTCGCTTAACTATTATTCAAAATGTCATGTTAGTCTACAAATAAACTTATTCCTTGTGAAACGTTGTACTGAAAAAATTTAATGTTTTTATCATGATTCATAAGTAACTTACATAGTGAAAAAAAAGTGTGGATTGAACAAACTGGAAGTGTGAAATATCATCTATGCTTAAACTAGTATTTCTGTTTTGAAGTTCAGATACACTGTTTTTATTCACAGTATTTATCAATTCCAGTTTAGATATCCCCAAACAATCCAAACCATTAGAACTGGAGATCAAACTTTATCGTTTTCTTCTTGACAACATTTTTTCCACATTGTTTTATAAGGGTATCAGTTTCCTTAGTTGTAAAACTATTTAACAATCTAAAAATAAACACAAGCGTTCAGTCAATGAAATCATTAGTCTCGTCATCTACCATACATGTTCATTTAAATGAAAACTTAAACATTATTTACTTACTGTAATTCAACCACATTGCTTTGTACTTGTCCTGCTGCATTACGTGCTACACAGAAGTATGCTCCATTGTCTTCTGGATAACAATAATGAATATCTAACATAGCAAATCCCCGGTCCAAAACAGCATTAAAACGACAGCCTATATAAAATATGTTTTATAAAGTTTTGTGTATTAAAATAAAATGAATTAAGTTTGGAATGTTCCATGAAAATTTTATTTTATTTATTTAAACACATAAATATTGGTACAAGGAAGCACCAGAAACATATGCGCCGCACAAATCTCATTGATTTGTTTGAGTGCTGTGATACTGCCCAGATGCCCAAACTGAAGAAGGTGATTTTCTTAGAGGACCACACCCTGAGCCTTTGACCTAAAGATCTAATACACAAGGCAGTGGAGCATCGTGAGGAGATGCAGTCCCATGGTAGCCGGTGACTAACGATTGATTAATACGCCATTCGTTCCTTCAGGATACCGGAGCCCATGTGCACCATTGGTTTAGAATGAGGGTTTTCCAACTCCCTTAGGTGAACTTACCGTGTCCACCAACCCGGTTAAAGCACCGGACATTCGCTTTCCGTCCTGTCAATTTCGTAAACAACAGTAATGCCACGATAAGGCAGTGAGTAGGACTTCCCTGTCAGAGGCTATATATCCGTTGGTCATGTGAGGGCATTTGGAGAGGGAGAGCGAACTCTCCTCACTCTCGGCCGTAACAGGGCATTTGGGGGCTCCATGAAAATAGATAGTTGTATGTATTAATCAATTCTGAAAGAATACAGTGTTAATAAAGTGAACGGGCGTCATGAACAAACGGTTTTGATCAATTTTCAAGTCTGAAAACAGGAAGCTATGATCTCCCTATATTTTAGTATATTTATTTATGCCAAATATGCATTTCAAATGACTGGACATTAAACAAAGGCGAAACACAAGAACGAAAATTCACTTATAAATGGTAACGGATGACAACTTCATACCTTGTATAATGAGATCTGTAGAGATTGTAGAGTTTTCACAGTGTAAATCATAAACTGACATTATAAGCAAGGATGGATAGTGGCTAGCAATGGAATCCAGGACGCGCGTTTAGTCCTATTTGGGGCTCGTCAGCTAGATGTACCTGCATCTCAGAGTTGATGTTTATTCTGGGACTTGAACCCAGTACCGTTCGCTTCAAACGCCTTCGCGTTATCCACTCAGCCACTGAGCCCTGATAGCCACTTACTTGTGCGATGGGGTGAACTTTAATTTCATCTGGTATTGTTTGTTTGAATCTTCTCATTGTTATTTAGGACTGCAATTAATTAGTCTCTTGTTGGCATATGTACATACTGTTTGTATTGACTCGATATAGCCTTAATTCCACTGCTAGCCACTATCAATCTTTGCTCATAATGCTTGTGAATTAAGGCAACATCGAGGCAATACACACAGGATGCACATATGACAATAAGAGGCTGATCAATTGCAGTCCTAAACATCAATGGGAAGATTCAAACAAACGCTATCAAGTGAATATAAATTGACATTGCTTAAATCACCAATGAAAACCTAAAATTACTGGATGGCCGTTTCGTCTCAGTATAAGACTGCTCAGCAGAGAGCATCCGGGACTTCACCGCAGAAGATTGGATCCAGAATGTTCGGTCTCAAAACTGAACCCATAACCTCCAGACCAATAACTTAACATCTACTTGGAGTACATGTTTAACTTCAATCAATTCGTGAAATCGTGTAACCCTCGTCCATAGCCTGCAGTGGATAACTATCTAAAACTCGACACAGTTGTGAGACCCGGTAGTCAAACTATGATCATTTGGTGATTCGAGCTAGGAAAATTTCATGTTTCTTAGCATTGTTAATTTATAACTGATACAGAATGTAGTGCACCAGTTTATTCTACTTTGATCAACTGTCTAAGGAATGATATTTCATGTTTGAATCCAAATGTTTTATTCGTAAAATGATTCTAATCAATTCACAGACAAATAAATATTTTCATTAAAGTTGATCAACACTGACTTAGAAAAAAATTTGACAACAGAACTTATTATAAGCATCAATGGTTCAAGGATAACGATGTTTATGCAGAATAAAATGAGGTCATCGATTAATTTCATAGCTTCTTACAAGCTGTATACACTCCGAAAGTACATTTGTTAATATAATTAGAAACAAACTGTTTAATATACCTTAGTTTGTGCAGTTTAGATGAATGTTCGAAATGTAAATAAACGAATCATAGTTATTAGAAGAATCGGATACAAAATGTATGAACGAATATAATTAATATTGACATGCATGTCTATGTTGAAAAGCAGTAATTTAATGATGAGTTTCCAGGTACAGTTGACGAAATAATCAGTGCGGCATAGATATAAAGCTTTCATGGAGCTCAGTTGGTTTCAATAAACAACACCAAGTGTTCGTCATACATAACACTCAAAGGTAAATAGGTATGTGTCCAACGTCACCTCCATTTGTATTTACGATTTAACATGTACTTGAGTCAGTAAGTATATATGAAGAACAGAGAGAAGGATTTCTACTAGGTTTTCTGAAGATAATCTTAGGAATTCATGCCTGAAAGGCAATAAGGTTTTCACAAGTGCAACTGTTAGGTGTAAACATGGATCGAATGTAAGTCATGAATTTTAAATAATTAACAAACAGTCGATGACAGTTTCACTCCGTCTTATAGAGTCAACCGCTATCAAACATTTCTGATCTGACCGAGTGTTAATCAAATAATCATTTTTAACTCTCCCTCTTTTTGCATCTAATATTTATTTCTTACATAATGTTAGTGGTACTCACATATTGATTTGCTTTTCTTTCTCATCATGTTTGGTGATTATGCAGTCAACACTTAGTTTCATTAGGCTTACATAACTCCCTTTATTTTGATCATGAGTACTAGTAACTAAAACACCACCTCCTATGCACTGAGTTACCATTCTAACATAGAAATGCATGTCAATATTAATTATATTCGTTCATACATTTTGTATCCGATTCTTCTAATAACTATGATTCGTTTATTTACATTTCGAACATTCATCTAAACTGCACAAACTAAAGTATGTTAAACATATTGTTTCTAATTATATTAACAAATGAACTTTCGGACTGTATACATCTAGTAAAAAGCTGTGAAATAGATCTATGAACTCATTTTATTTCACAATACTTTATTTTCTTTCACTATTTAAATTCATCAAAGGATTTAGTTGCGAGAAATTAACATATTATACTGAATGTTGAAGGTCCTGGGTTCGGGTCCTGCGAGTGGGATCGTGGATGCGTACTGCTGATGAGTCCCATACCAGAACGAAACGGCCGTCCAGTACTTTCAGGTTTTCAGTGGTGACGTAGCTATAGTTGACTTATTAATTCAACTATTGAAAGTTACTACAATCTCTACAAACCCTCCATTGTAATAAAGAAAAATATGTCATCTACGACAAATTTGTTCAGTAGTCTGTTTTCTTGTTTTAATCAATTTTAATTTCTTTAATTCATTACATAGTTCGACGTTCGTATCATCAACGATCGTAATGAGAGACAACTATGAAATCTAAATAATCATTAAATGAATAAACTATCCTTAAAAAAGGATTTTCTCCGCTAACTCTAATTATGATAGATTGTGTTAGCAAAAGTTAGGAAACAAATATTAAAAGTAATCATTTCAAAATGATAATGATTGATAAATGGCATAAACTTAGAGTTCTGAGCTTCGTGATCAATGATATGACCTGCGACACAAACTCTTTTTTCACTTTCTTAATTTAATGATAATTATACGTAGATATTCACAACTAGAAGAAGTTTCAATGAAATGCAACTTTAATCTCTTTGAACATTTGCGTTGCATAGTCGATATAAAAAAGTATAATTATACCTACCCATGCTAACAGGTTTGCCATCTTTATACCATTCAACTGTTAATGAAGGATCATTTGTGGGTTCTACACACGTTTCGAAATGTGCTGGAGCTGATTCACGAAGACCAACTTGTGGTGCAAGTGGTTTAAGAAAATTTGGTGGATTTGTTGGACGTATATCGTCATGATAACGATTAGCTCTATCCAGTCCATTTCTTACTAAATGATCTTCCATCATAGCTAGATTTGCAATCATAGATTCTTCTGGCAATTGAGTTTCAGTGACAACTCCCTCTTCTGGTATAATTCTGTATAAATAAAATAGAGTCAACTTATATGTTTTATAATTACTTAAAAAATAAAAAGGACTAACAAACGGAAACTACATGAGTGATACTTTAAGGAGAAAATAAAACTCATGAAACAATTCAGCAGATTACCCTATCTAATTTAAAGTTTCAATGAACACAAGCTAAAAAATGAAAATGATTGACCAAAACTGCACAAACCCTCAATTATACTAATTGAAATAACTGCAAACAACTAAATAAATATTCCCATTATAATATAAAACTATAAAATATGTTGACAAGAAAGTGAAATGCAGTCTTTCGACTAACGAAAATAGAACTTTCGGCCGAGTTTGTAGTTAATACTTTAGACTGGAGAAATCAGACAAAGTCTTTTACTCCTAGTACGAGATACTTCAGTGTTAGTCAACCAAAACCATACCAGAGGTCAAATCCTTGATATTCATATGTATATCACAGTAAGTGAGCTGCTTTTAGATTAATATTTGATACCTAATGATCGTGTATCGCTGAGGTATTCCAACTAACCTCATTACTTGATAACGATAAGTTCTAACATTCATGTACCTGTACTTTCTTATCGTCTAATTTCAAGAAAGAACACTCAGAAATAAGCCAGTATACATAATGATGGGTTTGGTTCATCTTAATAAAATAAATTGTAACATTATTGTATATTGTAAGTTTAACAAGGAAACGCTGTGCTGAATACATTTTATAATTTTTACATTAAACCATTTATAGTAAGTTACCCTACCAGGGTTGGTTGTTCGTAAAAAAATGATCACTTATATAAATAGAGTTTACCGACATTGTGTAAAATTCCACAAACATTTCACTAATAACTTTTGGACCTTAGGCAATATCGAAACAATCCGCGCAGAACGCCGTTATATCAAAAGAGACTGATCGATTGCAATCCTAAACATCAGTAGGAAGATTCAGACAATCAATACAAATGAATCATTTCTCTGCTACTTAAAACAAATAAAAATAATGTGAAACCTTCAATTTGTTTACGATTTTTACTTCTCTGTGTAATCTATGGTATGTGTAACCAACATGGGTAAGTAAATGCTTTAAATTGGAAAAATTATGTAGTTTTGATATATATGGCTAAATCCTATTGCATTCAATAGAAGAAAAGGGTCCACAATCCATGCAGCTTGAACCAGTTATGCAGAATACTATATTTAAATCTATCCACACCTCACACCAATAATACACATATTTTCGACTATACTCTATCACATTTTTCACATCTACTAACACATACAAACAATGTCTTGCCTAAAATCACTTTGACCGTATTGACATGATTACGCTAAATATTGCTAGCTTTACTTCTTTGTACCACTTAAACTTGTGGTAATTTGATTCCGTTATTTACTCATGTACTCTCGGAAGAAGTAACTTACACTAAGCCATGAGACGTGAGAAAATTATTTATCTCTAATTAATGGAATATTCAAAATTATCAGGTCTAAACCTTGTTAACCATACTTACAAACACATCAATGTGGTCAGTGTTCTGGGACCGTTTGTATTTGTTGTTTTAAGATAATATAATATTACATCAAGCAATTAACTGTCTTGTGACCCTAATTAAGAACTCGTCATCTTCTGAACAAAACGAATATCAGTTCAAGCGTTCAAACTGAAAATAAACAAGTTGAGGAATTTATTTTTTAGTGGAGAATAGGTGATGATACAGTATAGTATCCAGAGGGAACAGACAACCTCTGAGAAAACATAAAGAATGGAACTTAAATTGTACATACATACACAATGACCACATAAATTCCTGATGAAACTGATATTTTTCATTGAGTTATCTTGTTCCATAATATTTAATTGATGAGTAGCGTGAATAAAGACTGTTCTACTATCATGAATTTAGTAATTTACACATTACATATAATCAAACTTTTATAACTGTGAAATGGCGCTTGTTTTTCTGGTGCCAATACGAATAGACCATTGTGTCTCATGAATGGTGATGTGAAAAGAGAAACAAGAAGCCTTAACAAACTACGGAAGCTATTTTTGGGGACGTTATTTCATTTAATTCAAAGCTTGTAAAACTGTAACATTTACTTTTGCCCCTAGTCCGTTCTACAGATCATAAGCTTTCGTTTGATGTATGATTCACTGCCATAGCCTTTTCTGTTTCAAAGCTATTGTAAATTTGACATAACCTTTTGTACTCTATTTTCTACTCTAAACCCCCAGTTTTGGACATAATTGTATTTCCCTAATTATTGTACATTGTGGTCAGGTTATTCATCTATTTATTCATGTATCTTTTTACACTAATCGGAATTCGGGTACCATATCGGGATTGGAATAAAGCGAGTAGTGTTCCAGTTGTCTTGTCTTCTCTCTCTTGTGCTTGTCAGCCAATCAGGGATAGAGTAGTTTTCGTCTCTCTACTCCCACTTCGAACTCACGCATACTAGCCTCAAGGTTAAGCCAGTCAGCCTATCGCGTCAAGGTCTTAGTCTACATTATACGAGTTATACTCGGCACGAAAGTGGGTAGACAGATTCAAGGATGTAACAAACGGTAAGACGATTTTTTATTGAAACTTAACAAGCAGTTGCTATTTTAATTAACCAAAATGTGCAGGTTATTATTATTCAGTTTAGTAACCAACTGAATGATTATTTCTGACAATTACAAGATAATAAAAAAATACTCTGGTTGTATAACTCTGTGATGATGTTATCAATATTTGGTTTTACCACATTTCCGTAACATCTTGCATTGTCATGTGGAGCAAAAAGAACGTTAGTGGAAAATGAAACAAAAGCTTCATTGAGAAAAAAGAGGTGATTATAGTCACTCACGTTACATGACAACTGCTTGATTGATCTTGTCCTTGACTGTTCGTTGCTACACAGGAATAGTCACCGTTATCATCTTCATTCATGTATAGAAAATCAAGTACTGCGTAGCCTCGATCAAAAGTCGTTGTGAAACGAGAAGCTTGAGAAAGAAAGAGAAAATATGGATTTACTAATATAAAATATTGATCCACTTAAAAGAATCCACAGTTTGTTATCTTAACACACTTTTTCCTTACACACTACATATCTCATTGTGGTGTTTAAATAAATCAGTGACTTCTTGGTATTGATGACTGTTGTAATTTTGAATTCCAAATACAATACATTCATTCGGGCTCATCTAATACTTCTTGATTAAATTGCGTTATTCCTGAGATTACTAGTTTATACTACAATTCAAATACTTCTGATTATCATACTCATACACACTACATCAAATATGTACTTTTAACATTTTTACCATAGTTGGATCAACTGTTTATTGTACAGTTAACTGAAGAACAGTGTATCTATTTATATTCGATAATTTTGAAATTTGATTATATTTCCTTGAAAAAGCTTGGACCAGACTGCCAAGCAAAAAGTTGAATTTATTTAAAATTCAACCATTGAGATTTTACAAATATGTATATCAAGAACCACTTGACAGCTGGTTTGTCTTGGTATGTGACTAATCATTAGAAAGCAACTATAACCACTGTCATGGAATCAAATAAAGGATCTGTGGTTTCGCACGCGAACGCTTAACCTCCAAACCAGTGATCCAGATCCAGGATTCAGAGGTTTACATGTCCAATTTCAATCAATTCACGATATTGTTTGACTACCTGCCAATATCAACTCATGTGCTAACCTTATTTCTCATGTACAAATACGGAGGGTATAATGATAGAAAAGGTACAAAGGAAAATAGCTAGGTTGATTTGCAGAGAGGTTGGTCAAAAAAACTTACTCATCTTGTCGTATAGAAAGACTAGCGGAGACCTAATCATGATCTACAAAATACTTAATAATAAATTTTTTTCTTATATGTCCCTACTTTATTTGTCTCCCAGAACAGGGGATTTACGAGGATACTCCAATATCCTAATCAACTACTTGTCCAGTGACTACTGAATTTTCTATCGAATTAATAAACAGAGGAACGCTTTGCATCTCAAGACGTAGATAAATTTTTAATCAGTCGATTTACTCAAAACAAAGTTAATCAGCTGGGGACTTCCTGTAGCCAGGTCTAATGAAGTCACCCCAGCTTCCTATACTCCTCAAACTTAAATTCTGACGATTGAGACGACTCAAGTTTTGTCACAATAGTCTTTCTATATTTATTTGCTATATTTTTCTTACTCTGAGTTTTAATTGTCATCTCACAAATTTCTACTTTTTGATTGCTTTCGTTCTTTTCCAAACACACTTTCCACGTTCTTCGGTTTCCATATTGTTAACTTTCTACTGACATACAGATGTGAAGTCCCAGTGCCTGTTGTTGACTCCACTTGATATCAGTGAGGAATGATGAAATGCATTTCCTTGATTAACTTCGAACAGTTTCACAGACTTGATTGCATTAGTGAATTACGGAATAAAGCAAGTTTGATTTGAGAGTGTTTCGGATACATATATTTTGTAAATCTGTTAATTCAGACGTACAATATGAAGCGTAGAAGAAAAAACATTCCTACTGTTATCTTCGACCAATGCACATACATACCAAGTACTAGACAGCTCATTTACAGCTGACTTATTGACCGTATTAAATAAAAATAAATTTCATCCTTAAGCCTATCAGTTCCACGTCAATATCATGAGATTGTAAGTGTATAAAATGGTATGTATGAAATGAATGGTTGTATGACCCTGGTGCAACACAAAGATAACAGTATGCTAGAAGGTCATTAAACTATTGTTCAAGAATATACACTTAAAATATTCTATCAAATGAATTTTATAATAAATCTGATATGTATAAACATTTAATGACAAATTAGAACATAGTATAATGAAGATTTACAATACAACCACATACCTGCTGGTAATGGCTTGCCATTTTTATACCACTCAACAACTAATGTACTATCACCAGCTGGACGTACACGTGCAGTTATATTAGCTGGTTCACCTTCTGCTACGGTTAGTTGGCCTACAGGATGAACAACAAACTGTGGTGGACCAGACGAGTCAATACCATCTATGCTAACTGAATTACGCATTGGCTAAAACAAAACAAAAACAATCAGTTGAATCAGATTTTTAAAAAACATTCACAACTTTAGTGTACAAAAAAGAATTAAATCACATTTACGTAAACAGAACTGGTTCATACGCAATTTATGAGTGGAATGAATGTGATTCTGTAAAATATGCATATTTCTAACTTCTAAACCGTCCTGAACTATCAAATGACATCTCCCTAATAATTTCCTATATCTAGATTTTCTTCAGCTCCTTTTCATACATCACCAAGTGTTACGACTATTAGATTGTAAATCTTTCTTTACCACATAATAACTGTCTACATTAAAATGAAACATAACTTTAATAATATAGGTATTCACTGGTATATAAGCAAAGATGGATAGTGGTTAGCTGTGGAATTCAGGATGCGCTTTTCATCCTATTTGGGACTCGTCAGCTGGATGTACCAGCATCTCAGATTTGATGTTTACTCTGGGACTCGAACCCAGTACCGTCCACTTCGAACGCCATCGCGTTATCCACTCAGCTACTGAGTTTTGATAGCCACTTGCATGTGCAATGGGGTGAAGTTTTAAATTCACTTGGTATTGTTTGTCTGAATCTTCCCATTGTTATTTAGGACTGCAACTGATCAGTCTCTTATTGGCCATATGTGCATCCTGTGCGTATTGCATCTCTGTGTTAATGTGGTATGACAACTCGAACTGATGTAGTTACGTACTAAGTTCTACGTTGTGACTAACTGACTGACTGATTCAGTGAATATTTTTGCAAATTTACATTATTTTGATTCAGACATCTTTGTCTATAAAAATATAAACGAATTAATCAACCATATTTAACCGAAACTATAAAAGAATATAATATATGTAAACAACTAAATTGGTGAGTAATTCCATTACTTATTTCTTAAACATTACTAATGCAGTTCATATGGATATGAACTTTAAAATGATAGTCTAAAATAATTTATTTACATAATCAGAGAAATAATATTGATTGATGAATATAAGAGATAAAACGTATAGACTGTTATTATACGATTTACTATTCTTAAGTTATGCCCAGTTGATTAATTACAGTCTCCACAAACACAGACACTTTTTGGCTTGATCTTGTACAAATGTTATCTTTTATTTATGGTGTGATGTGGTCTGTTTGGCTTATATGTAATCAAGTATGTTTGAAACATATAATCCATATGGCGGAGGCTGAGTCTGATGTTCTGAAATTAACAGGCAGGGCTAAAAGGAAAAGGACTAATTTGGACTCTAGGCCATTCGTATGGGTGTGTGTGTCATTAGTTGGTAGTATACATACGGGTTTCTGAATGTGGCAATCGTATTCGTAGTAAACGTAAACCTAAGGACGTAACAGTAGTGCCATGCTAATCATGAGGTCATCGCAAAACAGGCAAAGGAACATAATCATGTTTCAGATAAAGCTTAAGGTAGATACAAAATGAGTAGTCAGTAAAATACAATCTCAAGCAGCTTAACCAATAGAAGTGACACTTCAAAATGGTATCTACTCATCTGTCATAAACAGTGTTAGTCCAATTTGTATCTGCGAATCAGATGAAGTAGACAGTTTGGAGCGCGTGATATAACCATCAAGCTTTTTTTACCAAATCTAGTTTTATTGGATGCAGTATTAAATTCACTGTCTGAATACGAGACAAATGTGAGAGGGGAGAATTTATTTCCACAGGATAGTGGATAGGAGAGGAAATTCATTTAGGTATTTTATAAAACTTAGAATGTCGAAATTTTGGAAAAATATCGCCATAGATACATCGATGAAACATTTAGGAACCCGCCTACATTGTTTACTCAAATCTAGACAATCCATATCACAAAATTTGACACGATTATTCTTTTGGATTATATTTTGATAATCAAAAAAAAATACGAATTCGTATCTGTGCTCCTTCAACTACTTGAATGAACTTTGAATTCATCAAATATTATGACTGATTAAAAATACTGTCTTATCCGTATTTCGAAAAATATATTCAAATTCAGTACAAAATGGTTGTTTGTTCCACTTGAGTTAATGTATATATCGGAGATTGCATCAATCACCATACCTTCAACGTTCTACTACAGTTGAAAATTGTCCTTTGCAGAACTCATTTGACAGCACTAGCTATTGTACTAGTCACAGATGTTACAGCTGCATGTGACAGTAACGGAGTTGACATCCTACGTAGGGATTAAAGTAAAAATCAGTGTTCACGAATTATTCTAAAGACACTTAGATAGGTGAACCAACAAGACACGGAGTTCATAGTGATTTAATTTTTCAAAGCATACTTTGGAGTGTTCATAGTCCTGATTATGATAATATTCTCAATACAGAAAATAGGGTAGAGGGACAGCATAGAGGCTTTAGTCAACTAGTAATCTTATTCTTCCGAAAGTATGGAAACTGATTAGTGCGTTGGAAAAGCAACAGAAACCAAGTGGTATGGTACCTTAAGAGTTTGTGTTAGAAGTCCAGCAACAGCACGTATGAATGAGGTACAAGGAGATAGTAATATAGATTAATCTGATAGTAGAAGATTATGAAATTAGATTGATTGCTAGACTATTTAGGCAGAATATTAAGCACATTTAATCTGCCTATTTAAACATGTAAAACTGTTATAAAAATTCTAAAATGTCCATGACATTTACAACAACATCACACTAATGAATATTGTCCATTCATGATTGTAATTGATTTATGATATTGATTCGGTCAACATATTTGTGGGGCTATTCTACCATATTGATAAATCGTTTTTAATTTAAACTCGTCCTTACTGATGATGTATTTCAACAAGTTTCCTTGACAGCCGCCACAATGTATATGATTGAACTTTTTGTAAGTTGTACAGCGAAAGGTTGTAAACTTTCCATAAATATGTCTGAATAAGTCAGGTTATTAATAGACAATGGATTAGAACAAACAAAAAGTATAACTTGTGGAAATATCTAGATGGCAACTCTCTTTTTCAGACGTGTCCTTATTAAAGAATAGCATGTTGTAGAACTTATAGCAGTAATGTAGATACACACAATTACAAACATACTGTAAGAAAAAATCTTCATATCTTCATAGCTTCAACAATCTTCTACTTCCTAAATGAGGTTTCATTTTGTTATGATAAATCTTTCACATAGCGAATGATGCAACCGAAATGACTAAACAACGAAAAACACTAGTTCTTTGCATAAATTATCCTACAACAAAGTAATTTTGGACATCAACTAGATAGTTGCATTTGTCGATTATTCGAAGCTATTAAACTACTTCAACAAATACGTTAGATCATAAAAGTGACTACTTTGTGACGAAATAATTGATATTCTTTTAGTGAATCATGTTCCATAAAATTAGTTATGTATTGCACTCTCGTAATAAAATATAGTTATTTGAGATATGTAAATATCGTCAAAATAATGTTCACAGTGCTTAGCATAACATCAGTTTGTTTATCCACTTATGCCAGTGTAGATCACCATTGTAGATGATCTATGCCGAATTATTGGGGGCCTACTAGAGTTAGACAGAAATGGTGACGAACCAACTAACATCGAAGTCACACTTCGCGGTCTTCACCTTACGTGGATTGCCCCATCGACGTATTAAAGGACTATAGATTTCCTGAAAACTGTACAACACAAAGGACGTTTTTACAAAAACATATTAGTTAAAGCAGATACAAGCGAAAGTAAAACCATTGCCGCATGGGCCAGCTCATGGCGTACGATTAACTGATGCGCGTTGATTGTCCTTGACCTTGACAGGGATCGATGATCTGTTTGATATTCACTGACGCAACTGCTGAATGATTTAGCTAGAGCTCAGTGACATTTCACTGCCCTACACCAATAATTATTTTGAAGTGTGTTGACTAAAATATATATTTACATGAGCTAATAAAAGATAAACTTTCAGTAAAATCAATCTAGGATAATCTACACTATTATAAACTATTTTTGTAAAACTAATTAGCCTCACATTTCTAGTCTTTTTTTTACAGTGGATTTTATAATTAGTTAATTATTTCTCTAACTCCGCCTGTAGCTCCTCCGGGGGCTACTGTCGGTCCCAAGCCCCGATAAAGGAAGAGGGTTGAGCATTGGGTTAGCAACCCCATCCCGTAGAAAACTACTCCTTTAAAAAACGCTAACCAGAAAAATTATTTCTCTGGTCGGCGGCCTATGCTCCATTGGGAGTAACAGGCATAAGCAAGTAAGTAAGTAATTATTTCTCTATTTTAATTGAATATAACTTTGTCAAATTTCTATTTTACAAATGATCATAAAACACACAAAGTTATTCAATTAAATAAAAGTAGCTATTAAGTGGTATTCATTTACAAAGTGATATCATCTTTGTTATATCATTAGACTCCTTCCTCACTAGTAATCATATAATTTGTCCTAAAGTTTGAGTTTACTTGACAAACTACTAACAAAGGTAAGTTAGTGTAATATTTCCTAAAGAATAACTATAGAATGATTCATTTGAACAAAATTAATATTCTGTTCCCTTCTTAACTAACAAGAATAGCAACAATTCTTTTACAGAGTAGTATCTGTGGAACTAATTAACTATTTATCATTTACAGTTAATCAATAAACAATGATTGATATGTGTTGACTTATCAAAAATATCAAATCTAAATGTAATTTAATTATCAAAATTTTATTCAATACTACTACTTACCAGTGATTTGACCTTAATTTGTTTTGACTGATCACCAGAAGGAAAACGTCTAGGTACTTGTTGATCAAATCCTTGACTAGATACAATAGGTGGTAAAGTATTCTGTGTGTTTAATTGATTAGTTTGAACTTGTTGATAAGTTTGAACTGGTTGTTGCTGTTGTTGGTAATATTGTTGTTTTCCTCTGTTATCAATCACTTGATTATTATTAGTCTGTGCACTCCAAGTGGTATGTGCAACTTGTGCTGGTTTATGTTCAATCTGATTAAAATTAGTTTGTGAAGTGTAAGGTTGGGCTATTGGTTGAGGTTTTGATTGAATTTGAGAATAAGCTTGTTGATTTTGCACTTGGAACTGTGGAGTTTGTGAAGATGATATAGGATTTGACACGTGTTGGAATCTTGATGCCTGATTAAAATTCTGCTGGGTTGTTTGATTAACCTGATGATTGGGCTGAATAGTGATTGGCTGGGACGAAGGTGTCAGCTGATTGGTTGGTTGAAAAGATAATGTGCCTGTGTTAGGCTGTTGTGTAAATTGTGCTTGAGTTGGATAGGCAGTTCCTGGAGGAGCGTAAGACTGACTGGCTGGTCTTGCATATATCACCTGACCTATTTGTTGTTGTGTTTCTGGATGGTAAGGTTGTTGCAGTGGTAATTGTTGCTGCGTTTGTCCAGACTGACCGAAATAAATGACATTCGGTTGAGCGTTGTAAGAAGGTTGCGAATTACTCTGACTTACAGGATAAGCATTTAGTTGCCCCATGTTTGTAGTTTGCAAAGGAGTTGCAATAACTCGATACTGCTGTGGTTGCTGAGACTGTTGAATTTGCTGTTGATACTGAGTTGGCTGCATTTGAGACGCTTGATTAGAACCAATTGTGAAAACTTGAGGTTGCGCAAAATTTTGAAAACCTGGTTTATTAAAGCTGCTATCAGGTTGATCAAATCCTGTCTGATTAGGATAAGCATAAAATGAGGGTGATTGACTTTGTTGAGTTGAATAATTATAAGCATTTGTTGGAGTGGATTGTTGTGGGGATACTGATGTTGGATAAGCACCATATGCTGGTTGAGCCAAGTTGACTTGGGCTCTCGAAAGATTGAGCACTTTAGTTGATGTTGTCATATTACCACTCTGAGGACTTATTTGAGAAGGTGGTTGATACACCATACCAACGTCTGGTGATGCCATGGTTGTCGTCACCGAAATCCAAAGAAGCAACACTACTGTATCCAAATAACCGAAATACTAAAAGGTTATGATTCAACTTATGTCCTCAGAATAAGTGAAGCAATCGAAGCTGTGTTAAAAGTAGTTTGTTTTTGTTTTTCCCAATTTATTTATAAAGCACAGATTGGTTAGTGTAAAGAAACCCAATCTAGTTAACCTATAAATTTGGTTTAAAATTGCCTACGCACTTTTGTATCTAAAGATTGTGGGTGTTGTAAAATCAAATTCATATATAAACGTGTGGATGTGTCGATTGACACTGAAATACTCTGTTGTTATTTTTAAATGGTCTATGCTTTTTATGTCGAAAGATCGGTTGAATACATTTTAGTAAGGGGTTGACTATAGAAGAAATTTATTATATCACCATGTTTATGTTAATATTGACTTTCTTGTCACAAATACTTCAACAAACGTGGGTGTATCATATGACAGTTAATGCAATAGGTTGCTTGAATAATATCTTTCTCTCTTTTTAAGATTAATCTACATTTCAGTTTTCAGATACCTGGAGATTCACTTTCAATCTGTAAGTAAATAAGCAGGTTAGGTCTTCCTCTTAATAAAAAATTAGCGCTTATTACCACAATATCGCCATGCGTGAACTTTCTTATAACAGTCATTAATTAAAACGTTGAGTTTTGTCGAAATTAGTTTTGGTGAACACTAGAAAGCTGTAAAAAAAACAGAGTAAGATTGAAGGTTTTCTTGGTGTGGCTTACGAAGTGTAATTAAAACTCATTCGAAAATAGATAATCATGTGTTCAATACGATGTATTAATAAACGTTCTTTAGAACTAATACCATTTCCACACTAAGGGGGCAGATACATTCTGATGATAATTTTATTACAGCTATGTAAGACAAAAAGATCCCAGCAACAATCAATGGTTATAAGAATGTGCAGTGTCCAATAATTCCAGATTAAGATTAAATGACTAACTGAGCAATGTTTCTATATTTTCATTGTGCCACCAGGTTTCACTTATCCCAGTGGTTTCAGTTACCTCCGAAGTGAGGAAGCCCAATGACTCTTCGGGTAGATAAGAGCTTTGAAAATACAATTTATTATTTATTTATTTGAACACATAAATATTAGTACAAAGAAGCACCAGATAATTATGTTCTACACAAATCTCATTTGATTTGTGTGAGTGCTGTGATGCAGCCCGGGTGCCCAAACCGAAGCAAGTGGTTTTCTTAAAGGAAAACACCCTGAGCCTTTGACATACAGATCTGTTGCACAATGCAGTGGAGCATCGTGAGTAGATGCAGTCCCATGGTAGCCAGTGACCAACGATTGATTCATTCGCCATTCGTTCCTTCAGGATACTGGAGCCCATGTGCACCATTAGTTCGGAATCAGGGTTTTCCAACTCCCCTAGGTGAACTTTCCGTGTCCACCAACCCACTTAAAGCGCCGAAAACTCGGTTTTCGTCCTCTCTATTTCGTAAACAACAGTAATACCACGATAAGGCAGTGAGTAGGACTTTACTAGTAGAGGCTATATACGCGTGGCCATGTGAGAGCATTTAGAGAGGGAGAATGGACTCTCCCCATTCTCGGCCGTACCAGGGCATTTGGGGGAAGCCCAATGATTCTTCGGGTAGACAAGAACTTTGAAAATACAATACTATACGACACTGGAGAATATGTGTATTTATGGATTAGGATATCAGTGTAAACGTATTCTTATGGACCTGCACTACACTTTACCCATCACTTTTGGAATATTTTATCTAAACCAAAAGCTTTGATGAGCTACTGATAAGATCACCAGTGGAGAAATGTGGAAACTATCCCAAGTATGCTTCATATGTATATATTCAAATGCTGGTACCAAAGATACATACATTACAAAAATATACATATTGGTATAGATAGGCGCGGTTGCTAGTATGCTGTACATGTGATTGCAGAAAAAGTAGACATGTCCATACCTCTCACAAATACACATATGTACAGAAGTTTCCACTAGCAAATATAAGATAAATGCATATACAGAAAGCGTAAGCTACACCCCATGCACTCTGTAGTATAAAAGGAGGCATAGATGCGAATACCATTGACCTCGAACCCCAGCAGAATTTGCACTAAATGAATATCCAGCATTTAAATCAGTGCACAAGTAAGTCGCCATGGGTGATGTGCTCACCTCACGCTCTTACCACAAGTCGTTTAGTGTCGACTGCTGTGTAATAGATACGACACAGCTTTTAGCATACTCTCTGACCCCCGTGTGCCATACCTTATATGCCCTTCCAGACTAGTCATTTCAGGTACGAAAAACGAAAATTTTCTTTAATGCCTCAGTTGTGCTCCCAATTCAATTAGAGCCCTCTTCTCATATAATCAAGGTTAAGACAGAGCAGGTGATTAGTCCGATCTTCATCTAACTATGAAGTGGTTGGTTAGTCCAGTCTCCTCAATGCCGCTTCTGTTAATTCGCAGGGAAAAAGATCATCCACTATCCAAGGAGCACTACACCGAAGTGCAAGTTGGACTTTGCCTCCCATTGGCCATCCGCTTAATACCAATTTGAAATTTAAATTAACTGGAAATGAATGATCTCCACGAATTGTACAGGTGGTAGTGTAGATGATTGATTATAGGTGATTGATTTAATCTATTGTATGTGATTTAAACCGCACGTCAACTGACAGAAAATTTTCTGTACTCTGTTAATTGTTAATCTGTCAACTTGATAACAAAATACACCTTACATAAAATCTAAGTCAGTTGGTCTTTACTTTTGAAAAGGCAAATTATAATGCAGATAGTTATCAAGAAGAGATTGATATAATTTTTTTTTTTAAAGTTTTTTGGTAGTAGTGTAATATCTAGTTCGTAATCTTCACAGGTTAACCTTAGTTTAAAGTACCCTAGAAGGCCAGAGCGCACCAGACTTCTCAACAGTGCAAACTTATGACCATGGTGGGTCAAAGTCAGGACTTTGAGAACACACAGAGGACAATCAGCGATTATACCACTGTGTTCGCATCCAAAGATACAAATATCCAGTTGAGTAGATTCGAGGCTTAAATTCACGACAACTAAATGGATTAGTAACAACTATTTTACTTTTGATATGGTTAAATGTTGAAAAACAACGACGAATGAATGATCATTGATGTTTTTATATGAACTACGTATTGTGTAAGTTTAAGTTGACATTTTGATTTTATGCGGTCACTTTTTGTTAGACATAGTGTTACTAATGGTTTGAATAATTTTTTCTGGTTAGCGTTTTTTAGCAAGTTGGTTTTCTACGGGATGGGGTCGTTTAACTCATGCCCAACCCTCTTTCTTTACCCGGGCTCGGGAACGACAGTAGCCCCCGGAGGAGCTACAGGACACTATCAGCAACAACCTACTGTGGGAGACAACAAAACAGATTCCGATGGAGGAAGAAATCAGGAAGAAGCGCTGGAAGTGGATAGGACACACATTGAGGAAATCACCCAATAGCGTCAAAAGACAAGCCCTCACATGGAATCCTCAAGGCCAAAGAAAAAGAGGCAAACCAAAGAACACATTATGCCGAGAAATGGAGACAGACATAAGAAGAATGAACAAAAAATTGGATAGAACTAGAAAGGAAGGCTCAGGACAGAGTGGATCGAAGAATGCTGATCGGCGGCCTATGCTCCATTGGTAGTAACAGGCGTTACTAAGTAAGTAAGTGTTACTAATTGATATTGGTTTTAACACTAATGAAACAAATCTCTAGCTGGTGTCGTTGAAAGTGAGGTTATCATATTTTGTGACCTAAAACTAGAGATAATGTACAATGAGTACTGAATTAAAAGTAATCCTAATAACTATGTAATTTATTGAACGAATATTCATAACCTTTGGTGTAAGTAATTCAACGGAAAGAAATTACAATCAAGATGCTTCATTGGTCTCTCATTTTTAAAGCTGAAAATATCCGATACTCATAACTGAATCTATCTTCCGTCATCAGTAATCACTATGCTAATGTATGTATGAGATTGATTCGTTTTCTAAATACTAATGGACAATAATCTCAACAACGATATACATTAAACCTAACATCAATGTTATCGAGATCAAGTGCAGGTACACAGGGAAATCTCAGCATGCCGATCCAAAAAATCAACATCTGTTTCAATTAAATTTCGACGTATAAACAAGAGTATTCTGACATTCACTAAAATGTTTTAAAGGCTATTAAGACAAATGCTTTCGGAATAGTAAATTAACGACCAATAAACGGGATTCTTTGTTCTAGGAAAGTTATTAATCATAATGAATCTCCAGTCATTTAAATGCGTGACGAGTAATCAATAAAGGAAAACTAATCATGGTTATCGGCTAAGACTATACCATACTGACGACCTTCAGCGATTCTATGAGCGGTCTTGAGGACAACCAATGAGAAAATAACCAACTGGAATACAGCTTTTTGTGAAAGCTATGTAAAGTACAAAAGAATGTCAAAATCGCAGTTTTAATACAATGGATATAACTAATCAATCTGGAAATTCATAAACCTTAGAACACCTTAACCGTAGCTCCTGGTCCTAGAACTACCGAACGCTAAACCTCTGCAGAACTAAAACCTCTGCACTCCAGAGACATGAGTTACATCTTCTACAGTTGTAGCAATCGTAAATTAAGTTCCGATAATCCATTCAATCATTATTTGTAGATATGATAGCTATGACTCGGCAAGGAATGCACCATGCTTTATAAATATCTTTGACCAGCATCTTCTGCAGAGTAAAATAATGTCGTCCTTCATGTCTTCAATCTCTACTCATCTCATTTACTGACCACGATTACGTAAAATACTGTTTATGGGAAGACAGATGCCTTACGTGTGTTACACAGTTTAGTCGTCTGGACCGGCCAAAATGCGAAATCTCGTTGATATTATCTGTGTAAGCATCAGGTTATATGAAGCCGCTTTTAAAAAATTGCGCTCAAACATAGGAAAGCTAACTTTATTCTGATCAAATAACTGAAAGACGCCAGTGTAGTATTATCTTACCGGGTAATTTTGCTGATAAAACAAGAACAATGAATCTTTACATTTAAACTACGATGGAATGAATGAATAGGCATTGTTTCAAGATAATAGTTAAAAGTGTATGTCGAAAAAGTAAGGGATACAAAGTTTCAGCCTCATATAAATTAATCATGAAGATTCAAGCAATCTATAGTGAATACATAGGGTGAGTATACATAGTAAATTTGATACCTTAAATTAAAGATCAATCATGATCAAGGCGTTAGAAACCAACCTGAGAAATAGCTCAGTAACATCACTTTCAAAATATTTTCACCACACATATATGAAAAATAAAAGCAATTTT